GAATGCATCCCTTCTTGTGATATTGTTCAATTTCCGGTAATCACAACACAGTCTTATCTCCCCTGACTTCTTTTTTACCACTACTATCGGTGCCGCATACGGGCTTGTACTGGTTGTAATAATTCCCTTTTTTAGTAGATCATTCAGGTGTGCTTTCACCGCCGAGTAGTGACTTGGCGGTAATCTTCGGTAGGGTTGCGCCACCGGCTTGTCTTGTAGTAAGGGTATCTGGTGTTTGATTACTTCCGTGTACCCCAAATCACCCTCATACGAGGCAAATATATCACTGTATTTATTCAGCAATTCATTTAGTTTTGGGTCCTCAGTTTCCGGGAATGTATATGATCGGCCATCCTCTTTCTTCACCTCGGCCGTCACATTGACCGACCTAATTGTTACTTCATTACTGCTGGTATTGCTCAGTTCGATGCACTGTGCCGACCTTAGTACCTCGACGTTCTGTGGTACTCCTACCAGAGTATTAGGCGGTATAAAAATTTCCTCATCCAAAACATTAGCTACCAACCCTTGAACTAGTCCGTTTTCCGCTGATGTGTATGTCCGCAGTAACACGACGCCTGCCCTCAGTGCGGCGCCACATGGTTCTATCATCACATCACCATTCACGCTTCTATCACCAATTTGTAATGTGATTGCCTTGACCGTGTTTGCCGGGACTGCTGTCCTTCCTCTGGTCTTGGCAAACCTGGCCAACTTGGATCCCCGACCTGGTGTGGTCGATCCGACAATATTTGTAAGAAATTCTGGCAACTGGCCAAGAATATTCATGCCCAATAGGCAAGGTATATTTGACACATTTGTCTCTAGGTTGTGTTTCGTAACGAACACCCCAACCTGCTTCACCCTATGTCCCGACACCACGACATCTGCCAGAAAATAACCACAGTATGGAATGGTTAGTCCATTAGCTGCCGTTAGGCGCATGCATGTGTCAGACCTCAACCTATGGTCTTTTCCTTTCATCCATTTGGTGTAAAAATTTTCCGTGATTGTCGTCACCTGGGAGCCTGTATCCACAATTGCCTTCACCGCGATGTCCCCAATCGTAATCACCATTTCGGGACAGACTCCCATCATTTTGTTTCTTGGGCCATAACCTCGCCCCTCTGTAGCCTGACCCTGCCTTACAGAGGACGACCGTTTCCCTGGCAGTACCGTGCCATGTGTCCGGGTTGTGAACAGGACAAGCAAATTGGTCGACCGTCGGCCGTCCATTGGAGTGATGGCTTGGCAGGACGCGGCCGTCCAACCCGTCTCTGTTTTGTCCCGTTCTTTTCCTGATTCTCAGCTGTTGACCTGCTTTCTAACCTCTCCAAACGTTGGTCAACCTTATCTAGGTGGGCCAACAGTTGAGCCATCATGGTCTCCATCGTGTCGGCCCCTGTGGGTGGGGATTGTCTCTGTTCAGGCACAGAGACTTTGTCCACCGAACAGTTCGATTGGTCCTCATCCTCGGACCTGCGGATCGCTGAGTTCCTGACCTGAAGGAAGGTCAACTGCGGGTCTTTGTGGACCTCCTCTTTCAACTCTCTTCTTAGGATCGGGGTTGCTAGCCCCTCGATGAAATGGTCCCTCAGTAGGCGCACATCAATGTCAGGTGTTTTTACCTTTACCGAATCAAAGGCCCTGTTCATCCGGTGTGAGTACTCCATCACACTCTCCGCCATTCTCTGCCTTAAGCCTACGAACCCTGCCAGCAGTTGCGATCCCGACCGTCTCTCCCCAAAGGTCTCCATAATCAGATCCAGCACCTTATCCGGATCTGATTGGATGGTTTTATCATGGCATTTGACCTCTGCCCTAACCGTCTCTCCTATACTGCCCATCAGCAGTCTTAATCTTTCCTCTGGTGACATGCCTCTCGAGGCCCAGGCCGCTTTGACCTTTTCACTGAACCTGTTGGTTAAAGTTGGATCACCGTCCCCGTAAAATTTGTTAATGTGGGACTCTCTGGGTAGGACCACTATATGGGTCTGCTTCTCGTCCAGAGTAGACATTTTATTCCGTAAGTAAAACAAAAGAGTTCTTTCTTACCGTGTGTGTATGAAAAAATTTTCCTCGTTCCTCACTTTTCACAGTTCCTGAATGTCCGAATTCACACACACACTAAACACAGTTATGCACAAGGTTGACTATGGGTGCCTAAAGCGGCAAGTCTAGTTGAATTCATCCTGTCCGACGACGCCAATTGTAACGAGCGAACAGTTACCCTGCTCGCAACGCCACATGTTACGAGACTATTTGCCTGTAGTGCCAAATGTAACGAGTTTAACCACTCATGCTACACAACATCGACTACAGTAGAAAGACTCGAAGATGCAGGTTCGCTATTGATCCTTTTATTACATGAATCAAGAAATGCTTCAATATAACACAATGAATCAACAGGAATGCTTCACAATAATAGTCTGAATCAACTGACCCCTAACAGTCCTCACTAGGCTTCATATAACTGAATCCACATGTCTATTGTCCTTCTTAACACAATATAACCAACTTGATATGTCACACAGACTGACTGATCTAAAGCGAGCGATGAAGAGAGCGAGCGATCGAAAGGGGAAGAGAGCGAGTTCAGTCGTCCCCTCCTATTTATCCCTTGTATTCGTACTCGTCTTCGTACTTGTATTCCTCCGTAATCGATACTTGTACTCGATGTCTCCGACTACTAGTTGCGCAGTTCTAACGTACAGTCCGTTTAATAAACATCTGCATCCTATCAATCAAAGTTGACAGGCCGTCTGAATCCCCTCGTACCGTTTCCCAAAATAGCACGCGTTGGCTTTGAGATTGTTATCAGTCCGATCCAATAAGCCACCTGCCATCAGTTGCATCAGACTGTAATACTGCGTCTCGGCTTATCGTTCGTTATCAGTTTGCATCAGATTTGTAACTAGTAGCTAGGCCTACCCTAGTTACATATATATATATATATATATATATATATATATATATATATATATATATATATATATATATATATATATATAAACAATATTGGAAAATACGAACATAGAATACTCAATACTAGCTTGTTCGAAATTTGAAAATATAAAAAATTCTTAGTTTATATTTTCAATTAAAACATGATACATCAACACATATCATTTGTGTGAGTGCTATAGTCTGGTTTGAAATTCTCTATTTTAATGTCTGACATAATGTTTTTGTTAATTTGCATTCAAAAGAATATGAAGCACGAAAGCTTTGTATGTGTAATGGTTTCTCACCTTATGTTTATTTTAAAGTTTTTTTTGTATTTATATTATTAGTTTTTAATACATTTTCTTTTTATTCAATGTCATTCTTTATTATGTTTTTTTTAAATAATAATTAAGAGAAGTAATTGCTTTTTAATTTGTTTAGTGCAAATCTATTTAAAGTTTCTTAAAAAACACACATATTTGACTTTCTAAAAAAGGGAAATAAGTCATGGAAGTGGTTTGATCGATTGCCTATCTTTCACACTACAGCTCAGGAATATTTTTTTTGTTACGCAACAGCATGTGTTAACTACTGTATAACATCACTACTGTAGTAGATCTGTTTGTTATATACAAAAGCTTTTACCGTCAAGTAAAAAATGCAAGAAAATTATTTCTTTAACTATAAAAAATTTATTATGGTCGGCTATGGGCCCCTAAATGGTGTGGGCCCCCCCGCATTGCGGGGTCTGGCGGCACTGTAGTTCCGCCCCTGGTTCTACCTCACTATTGCGGTGAGTGATTCACGTATATCCAAAGCTTTATACTACAGCACGCGGCCTGCGGTGTCTGGGCTGTAGTGTGGGTGAAACCGAGCCTCAACAACAACTAAGATGTAAGAAATATAGCGCCGGGATTGTTCACATTTGTATAACGAAGTTTTAGAAAACAAGGACAAACGTCTAAAAATACACGATTGGTAACGTGTTAATGAAACCCTTTAACATCTTGCATCACTTTTTTGTGGATGACTTTTACAGATCGCATACATGCTCGACGGGATTGGCGCATATTTACAAAACAGCGCACAGTGACCTGGTTTTTCTTGTCATCCATGTTCGTTGGTTTGGCTTATGTGTTGTCTTGATGGGACAGGGATCAACACGTTACAAACTTTAGTAGCTGATTTAAAAAGGCTATTTAATAGTTTTTTTTAAATAAAAGTATTTTATTCTTTGATTTCAAACCAGATCTTTTTTACTAGATATACAATGTATAACTATACTATACTATTGAACTTGATATTGAACCCTCAACCACCTTACGATCTTTCCGAAACGCAACCGCTCGACCACATTGTGTAGTTAGTTTTGTCAATTTCGTATCTTCTGCCGACCAGCCTAGAGGGTGGAGGCAGAAGCTTTTTTCCGATTAGTCGCTTATTAAACTAAACTGCCTGTAGTTTCTTTGATATAATTATTCGAATTTAGGATTAGATCGGAACTTTTAATCTAAGATTATTTAGTGAATTTTAGCAAAAGACCAGGGACTCTTTTTTTCACACGTAAGCTAGGGTGCTAACTTAAGATACACAAAAGAGAAACGATTTATCGTCGTTATCCGACCAGTAGAGTTACAAGGAGGTGCGGACACTTTGCTATTTTTGGTGTGGGGGGGGGGGGGGGGTGTCAACAAACTAGGTCAACATTAAGTATCAATTAATTTGCATTAAACTATACTATTCTTATATTCTTCTTATATATTAGGCCTATATAAACGCGAAATAACGGCTAAAATTCAGTTTCTAACATTTAAAAATGCAAAAGTGTGTTGTCCCACTGTATCACTCCCCCACGTCGTTTATCAATGACACCTAATTTTTATTCAATCATTATATTGCATAACTTTCCCATCCCGTCATTTTAACAAGTAGCATATTTTTGTACAATATTATTTATTTAATAATTCTCAACTACACATACTTTTTTATAAATTGAGTTTTCGTTACTTAGTATAATCTTTCCGGAATTATGTGTGTTAGACTAATATTGTTTACAAATGGCGGATACGGTGAACTAGCAACACATAACCAGCATTTTAAAAAATATAGATTTATTCAAAATAGTCATTCTTTTAAGCTTAAAAGTAATATCCACTAATTTTTCTTTAGGTAATTTATTTCTTTTATTGGCTGCTTTTTTCTAACACCACTAGACTTACTAGATCTTGAATTCCAGATTATTATAGATCTAGTTTTATTTAATAATAAAATATAAATTAATAAGTTATGATGGGTATTGATTGGGTAATCTATCGTTTTAGGTACGTAAAATCGCCCGCGAGTAGTAATGTGAAAAACAGGTGACTCTTTACTAGTCTTTACATTTTAATAATTATTTCACATTTTGAGGAGGATTTATGTTTTGAAAAATACAAAAATGTTTCCTTGTTTCATATGTACCTGTTTTTAAACAATTGAATTAAAACTTTTCAGTAATAAATGAAGACCAGCGATGTTTCCAACAGATGCAACCATGCTTATTTACTATAGCAGCCATCTTGTTAAAGTTTTATTTTTATAGACTTATAGCGCGAGATTCAGGCGGAAGTCACTCTATTTTACAAATGGCTGCTGTTTATATAGCAAATCTTGCTTGCAGACACTGCTGTTTAAAGTTAATTTCTGGCCTATATTGATATATTTAGCCATTGATTTAGGTTTATTAATCATTTATCTATAATATTTGACACAAACATATCACAATATACTTCTATTACAGCCTTGACAATGAGGTAACGTTTTCGTACATTAATAGCCGCGGGCGATTTTACGTACCCAAAACGATAGATTACCAAGTTATGTAATATGTCGGCCCTATTAATTATTAATTAACCGAGTTGACGAGAATCCTTCCATCAAAATCAAAGCAACCGTAAAAATAATAAAAACTAAAAACTTAGGCCTAAGCCTAAAAATAATTCAGAATTTAATATTTTTAGAATCAATGTTATATATTAATATTAAAGCTGGAAATCCAGAGAACTTTAAAATAATTTGTTGAGTTTAATTTTAAGGCTACATTAAATGTACATTTCTATTTATTTTCATTTTTCATCATGCCTCCTAAGTTATAACCCAGTGATGTGTATTGTCACCGGGTGTATGTTTCACTTTCGTAAAGAAAACACATTGATTTTCTGTACAGGAACCCCATGATCGATTTCTGACAGCCCCACATCATAGTTGTTTGTTTACAAAACTTTACAGATAAAGTTTTTAAATAACAATGCAAATTTAAACCACATGACCTAGTTCTGCCATTATTAAAAACATCAAATACATCCAATCTTTAGTAAAGTCTGAAGAAAACCAAACAGACTGGATTTTATAACCATATAAATTGTAACTACACTGTGCATGATTTTTTAAAATATGTAATAAAATATACATTAAATAAATAGGCCTCTCCAATACCTTTGAGAGTTTTCTTGCTCGGGTCCATTAGTCTAGATTAGGTAATCTCACAATATGGCATAGGAAATTATCTGGTAATTTTTGTTGAGTTTTGTTAATATTCGTTACTGTAAACCATAGTTTATTTGACCATTGAAATATATATATGAAGTCAAGTGCATTAAATTAATGTTTTCACTTAATTTTTTTGTTTGATTGACAGAAAATTAGCAACAATAATTAGCAAAACAGTATTTAAAATGCAACCAAAATCAATCTATGCAAATTTTAAAACATTATGTATTAAAAATAATATGGCGCCAAATAAAATATGGTTTACAGTATTTCTGATGGTTTCTGATTTTTACTGCTGTACCATTTCGGAATAATAACTGATGCTATATAGTGTGATTACCCTAGATTACTACTAGATCTCCTAGTCTAGATAACTAAGACCTAATCACCCTAATGGACCCAACCGAGAATAGCCTCGAAGTTATTTGAGAGGCCCATTAGCCATTAATTATTTTATAACTCATTCACAGTGTAATTAAAAATTAATATATTAATATAAAATCCTGACTTTTGGGTTGTTTTGGATCTGATAAAAGAGTGGATGTATTTAACATTTTAGTATTGTCTGTAATTAAACACACAAAAGGCAAAAGCAAATTGGTTTTTACATGGAAATGGCGACATAAATGAAGACATCCTGCTATTAGATAGGCTAGCATTAATTTTATCATACAAAATGCCAACAAAAATGGCAGAACTAGGTCATGTGGTTTAAAATAGCATATTTTTATTTAAAAACTTTATCTGCAAGTTGTGTAAACAAATAACTATGATCTGTTTGGCTGTCAGGAAATTGATCAAGGAGTTCCTGTACAGCCAATCAATGTTTGTCTTACAATAGTGAAACATCGGATCATAACTTAGGCTTGATGAAAATAAATAAAAATAGGCCTATAACCTTAAACTCAAAAAATTATTTTCAAGTTGTCTGAATTTGCAATTTTTATAACATTGATTCTAAATTTATTAAATGTCTGTAGGCCTATTATTTTCCGCTCAAGTTTTTATTTTTTATTATTTTAACGGCTGCAATGAAGTCAGAATATAAAAAAGTGTCAATAATACGATGGAAGGTTTCTCGTCAACTTGGTGGTGTCCATTTCAGCCTAATGTTTAAATTAAGTTATATTTATATTACATTATGCCTAACTTATTAATAGTACAATGGTAAAATAATGGCCTTTTTTTGGACTTAGGTATGGTTTAATTAAATTAAAATTTTAAAATGATTTTTATTTATTTTTTAAATAAATTTTTGGACACTAACCAAAATTCTGTTCTTTGAATAGTTCAATAGTAGCTGAGGTGGAAAAAAGAGTTGATAATAAATGGCACTACGTAGAACAAATCTTCCAGTGATCAACAGAGCACCTTATGATACTACTCATGAGTATAATGCCATCTCAGTAGGGAGCCCAAGACAGTTGGTGCCTGAACAGCGACAAATAGCAGAGATTGTACCAGTTAGAAATGACCTCCCTTCTCGCATTGATAACATAGAAGATAGACTTGCTATGCAGGAGCGCAATACACAGGTCATCCCTTGATAACATTTATAAATGACATCTATAACGTCTTAAAAAATATCTCTTAAGTCTTAAAATAACTGTCTTAATTATAAAGAGTATACGTTATGTTATTTCCAGGCTCTGATAGACAAAGCATTCAAAATTAAAGAAGATGTTATTGATAGTCTGAACTACACCCAAGGCACCTGGAATGAAGAAAAGCAGGCTAGAGTACTGTTGCAGGAACACATCCGAACTATCACAGCTGTGGTTAACAAGCTCAATGGAGATATTGCCGTTAGTTTTTTCTATAGCTATTCCTCTGTTTTGATTAGAACTTGTACTCAAGTCAACTTGTCTTTATTTGGTTTCATTCATATCAAAATTAAATTAAGACACAAAAATTAAAGGGAAAAAGAAATTTTTTAGCAAACCAGGCAAATATAACAGATCAAAAATATTGGCACTGATTTTTTCAGTCTCTGGAAAGTTCCATCAAAGCTCGTGATGCTGCACATGTTTCAACCAACAACGCAGTTAAAAACTTAGAAGTCCACCATGTCCAATCTCTGACAGATTTGCGAGGAAGAATTGTTCGCTGTGACAGTTCCATCTCTAAACTAAGTGCTGATGTGCGATCCTGTTTTGAGTCCATTAAACAGTTATCACATCAACAACAGGAAATACAAAGTAGGATGATGGACAGAATGCATGGTCTAGAAGCCCAGGTACTGACTGACAGAATTATCTTAGTGGGTCAGGTACTGACTGACAGAATTATCTTAGTGGGTCAGGTACTGACTGACAGAATTATATTAGTGGGTCATGTACTGACTGACAGAATTATCTTAGTGGGTCAGGTACTGACTGACAGAATTATCTTAGTGGGTCAGGTACTGACTGACAGAATTATCTTAGTGGGTCAGGTACTGACTGACAGAATTATCTTAGTGGGTCAGGTACTGACTGACAGAATTATCTTAGTGGGTCAGGTACTGACTGACAGAATTATCTTAGTGGGTCAGGTACTGACTGACAGAATTATCTTAGTGGGTCAGGTACTGACTGACAGAATTATCTTAGTGGGTCAGGTACTGACTGACAGAATTATATTAGTGGGTCAGGTACTGACTGACAGAATTATCTTAGTGGGTCATGTACTGACTGACAGAATTATCTTAGTGGGTCAGGTACTGACTGACAGAATTATCTTAGTGGGTCAGGTACTGACTGACAGAATTATCTTAGTGGGTCAGGTACTGACTGACAGAATTATCTTAGTGGGTCAGGTACTGACTGACAGAATTATCTTAGTGGGTCAGGTACTGACTGACAGAATTATCTTAGTGGGTCAGGTACTGACTGACAGAATTATCTTAGTGGGTCAGGTACTGACTGACAGAATTATCTTAGTGGGTCAGGTACTGACTGACAGAATTATCTTAGTGGGTCAGGTACTGACTGACAGAATTATCTTAGTGGGTCAGGTACATGCTAAATTAAATATCCTAAAACTGACGAGAGTACTTTAATTTTGTCTGTTTGGGTCATAAGATTTAGTTTTGGACTCTTGTTTTTTGCTAGCTTGTCACCTTAAACAGCAATATTGAAAGAAGTAATGGTGAGAGTCGCCTGAAGATTCAACATCTTGAAGGAGACACAAACACACAGATGTCGATGATTGATGCCAAAACACGCCAGTTAATTGAGGATTTGAAGGCTAATCTGGCCAGTACTCAAAGCACATTTGAAGCAGAGAGGGAGAGGCTGGAACAAAGACTGCTAGTTACCATTGAAAAAGTTGAAGGAAATAATGACCTTACTATAGTAGGTTTTTAATTGGAGTTATATTCATGTTATAAGTTTCCATACCTATTTATGTAGACAAATGCAATTAACTGTGTACATATGTTTTTATAAAATCAATTTATAAATACAATATACTAGTACATTGGCAACTTATTTTAATTATTTCTAATTTTTCAATTTAGGATAAAATAATGAAAAAAATTGATGATGGAAATTTTTTAACTGACTCTCGCATTACAAAACTGGAAGAAACTCTGCATGAATCCCGCTCATATACAGATAATTCTCAGTCTGTAAGTCCAGTTAGAAATATCTTGCTTTTTGTGTCTTGAAAATTTTCAGCTGTATTTAATTTAGACTTGATATAATGAATGTCACTTAACCTTGTCTTGTTGTATTCAACTGGTCAGAATGTCACTTAACCTTTTCTTGTTGTATTCAACTGGTCAGAATGTCACTTAACCATTTCTTGTTGTATTCAACTGGTCAGAATGTCACTTAACCTTGTCTTGTTGTATTCAACTGGTCAGAATGTCACTTAACCTTGTCTTGTTGTATTCAACTGGTCAGAATGTCACTTAACCTTGTCTTGTTGTATTCAACTGGTCAGAATGTCACTTAACCTTGTCTTGTTGTATTCAACTGGTCAGGATGTCACTTAACCTTGTCTTGTTGTATTCCATTAGTCTCTGGACAGCAAGCTTCTGTCCAAGCTAGACAAAACTGTCCAGAGACATTCAGAAGAAATAGCTAAGCTGAAGAAGGAGAGCCGTGAAGGTTTCTCTACAGTCCACGAGAGTATCAGCAACATGAAGACTGTCATGGAGGGCAAGAGGAAACTTCTGGAGGATCAGTTGAGGAAAGAGATAGGACAAATTCGTAAAATGGTGGTCCTGGTGTGAGGACCCTACAGGACCAGACTTCAGAGCTTCCATTTGTCAGTCTGTTGGTCACCAAGCAATGGTACATTTTTTTCAGCTTGTTTGCTTTTGGACTTAAATTTTATTTCAAAAAATGTAACTAAATCTGAAACAGCCACTGTCCTAATGATGATGGTTTCTTGTTGGCTTGTGACTTGAAACTACCAAACTTCTTACTTTTAGAGACTCAAATACAGATCTGATGAATGCCCATGTGTAGGTCTACACACATTTACAGAGGCAACAATGAAATGATTTGATTTTAAAAATAGCCACAGAAAGATCATTTTAATAATCAGAGCTGCTGTCTTGTTTGTATCTTCTGAAAGATGATTCTACTCAAATATTTTGATTCTACTCAAATATTTTGATTCTACTAAAATATTTTAATTCTACTCAAATATTTTGATTCTACTAAAATATTTTGATTCTACTAAAATATTTTGATTCTACTAAAATATTTTGTTTCTATTAAATTTTTTCTCGTATTTTTACTCATGTTTAAAAATTCCAACATGTGCCTGAAAAATGTTTTAAATTATGAATCTTACAAATATTTAAACAATCTATTTTTATAAAATCAGCATTAATTATCACTACAATAAATATGCATATATAATCTAAGCATTTTTTTTTTCACAAAAAAGAAAAGGATCAGTTAGAATTTTATGGAAGAGTATTGTTGGTGTAAATAAAATACATTTTTGTAAACATTGAAAAAAACCAACTAAACAAAGGAAGGCTCTTGCTAATTAGAATTAAACAAGCTCTACTTTTGCAAACAAAAATAAAGAAACAAACAAAATAGAAATATTTTAATTTTATTCACCTTATAATTTTTTGTTACAAGCAACACTTATAGTTCACTCGGAAAAAATATAATTGTTATGCATGAAAGCAAAAATATCAGCCTTTTGTATCTCACCTCTGTTACATGCTTGTGCTGGAGTTAATTAGTCTCACCATATTCTTTACCTTGTATTACTTGTATAGGGCTGGTAAGTAGGTCACCAACCAGTTCTATGGCTCAATAAAATCTGCATGAGCCATAGAACTGGTTGGTGACCTACTTACCAGCCCTATTGTAATGTGCACAAAAATTACATGAAATATTGACAGTTTTACACCTCAGTACTTCATCATATACAGAATGTAGGGGACTTCTTTTAATCAGGGAGAAATTCTAAATCTAGATTTATCAATATTTTGATATTATTTTGGTTTTTTACTCGTAATCAAGTAGGAAAAACTGGGCTTTGCAATTCTGTCTAGAATCTATATTATTGTGTGTGTGTGTGTCTGTGTCTGTGAACACAATACATTGTTACAGACAAAAAAACACATTAATTTTTAAGTACTAATGTTCCACGCTATTATACATGCATTGTTTGTTAATCGGTTGGTGCGCAGTTCTTTTTTTCATATAGAGATTCTATTCTATTTTAAAAAGTTTAAATAATTAAAAATCATGTCTATATTCCCAGAAGCCATCCCCGTAGTGTTATATAAGAACATTCAAGAAAGTTTAGGGGAGGTCACTCCCTCTTTATTTTAAATGCTTGTTACATTTATTTGCCAGTTTTAATTTTTTATTATACACTACCAGAAGTTTAATTTGCTTCTTTAACCATTGGTGTAACTTGTGGCATCTGTCAGTGTATACTTAATGTAGCTTGTGGCATCTGTCAGTGTATACTTAATGTTGCTTGTGGCATCTGTCAGTGTATACTAAATGTTGCTTGTGGCATCTGTCAGTGTATACTTAATGTTGCTTGTGGCATTTTTTGCTGGCGGAGATGGCACCAATGGAATTTGGAGTTGAGGTGGATGTGTTTGGCAGACTGAGAAACATTTTACATTCTTGTATTTTACATTCTTACTTTTTGTAACAACATGTATTCTTTGTTGTTGTGGGTTAGCTTTCATACAGGAACACGAGCAACAGTGGCAACTTGAAATGACAACTTTATTTACACTATGTACAGATAAATCCGTGGTACATCCATATTTGAAGATCAACTGATATAGGTACAAATAATAATCACGACTCCAAGTCATGGAGACATCTTACATTCACTGCCATCGTTCCAGTCCCAAGTCCTAGCACACAACCCCCGTTCACCTTTCGCTCTCTCTTTTATTCGGTCCATTCTCTCCCCTTACGTACATGAGCGATCTCACCCAAAAGCATGGAAAAACACATGACGATCGCTCAGACAGTCCTTCCGCTAGCCAGGTACTCTTCATTCATGCAACTTCATGTAAAACACAATAATATAAACATAGCTAATTATACAGTCTGTGACACGTCCCCCCTTCAAATAAAATTTTGTGTAACAAAATTTATAAATACAATATTGGTAGGGCAGGATCATGTGCCAGACAACAAAATTTTTTTTATATATCTCAAAAAACATGGAAAAATACATTCTTTGTAGACTAATGCACAAGCATTATGTGTAATATATTCAAATATGAGAAAGAAAAACATTTCAATTACCCAGTAATTGTAGTATAAACAAGACAAATGAGTTTAGTAAATTACCAAACTATAATACATCGTTGAAATTATCAAAGACTTAATTCAACTCATAATTTAAATAACTATATCCTACGTGGTAAAAAAAAACTTCCTTATCATCAAGGCATGTTCTTACGACGCATGAGTAATATACTTTGTTGTCTCCCCTAGTTGACCCATTTCAGTCATATCTAGGTCACAACACAATAACATTCTTGCCTTTCACAGATATTGACTAATACACAATACATCATTGAGACTTCCGTCTTATTGTTATGCGGAATAAATAGTCTCTAACTTTTACTTTATACATTATTCCCTGTTAATTAATAGTATAGAATAGGTTTAACATAATACAGTTTACATTCTTTAGATATAGTACACAATTTATGTTTACTCAAACACATTATTTGATATTTATATATTACAGTTACAGACTGTATAATATTAATAAACTGTCAATTGATAATTTATCTTAGCATCCTCTATAGCATGAGTAATCGTTCTTGTGTAGTTGACGATGACCTGTATGCCATCTCTCCCTCAAATTGTAGCTTTTAGCTGTGCTACCATAATCATTTCCTAGATTTCGTGTAACTTGTGTTACTTCATTTGTTTTAATATTCTCCTCTGGTTTCTGAACAACGTCAGTGGTTATCTTGCTTTGTGTATGTTGGTTTGGTTCATCAACCAACTCAATATAAATATTATGGCATTGCTTTGGCCTTTCATAATACATCTTGCTTCGGTATCTTTCATTAGAACATGATATATTCTTTCTTAAATTACTATATTTCCCACATGACTTTCTTTGTACATAATTGTTTCTTCTCTGATTTGCCAACCTATGCCAACATTGATTTTGGTAATGACCTGTTTTTCCGCAGTAAAAACATCTAGATTTTGGCTTCTTATAAACATGGTGACTGTATTCATAGTTTGCTAAATTTCTTTTTCTTTCATTCTGTGCATTAATGACATTAATGACATTCTTATTAACATGTTGACTGTATTCATAGTTTGCTAAATTTCTTTTACTTTCATTCTGTGCACCAATGACATTGTAGTTTCTAGTTACTGTTTCATCTTTCTTAACTTCCTTGTGCTTCTTTATTGATTCTAGTTCACACATAAATTTCTGTGTTAATTTCTCCATTTCTTTGTTAAATTTATTCTTGAGTTCTAGTATATCTTCTTTATAGTTTGACTCCAATTTTCGAAGTAAATCTTCAATAGGTACGTTCTCTTCATTGTGGCTTATTAAGTTCACTGATTCATTAATCATCATTAGTTTATCATGATTCCTGCCATTCTCCGATGGACTTATTAAATCATCACTGCCATTGACTGATGGGCTTATTAAATCATTTTGATTACTATTCTCTGATGGACTTATTTCTTTTTGACTGCCATTCTCTGATGGACTTACGATACAGCTTTCACTAATATTCTCGTGTACCTGCGTATCATTCAATAAAGAGTCAATCTTAAGACATTCTAATGTATCTGTCACCTTTAAATCATTATTAAGTTCACCCTCTGTTTTTTCCTTGGGTTTCAATTCTTCCTGGACTATGTTACTCTGTTCTTCATTCCAAAGGTTGCCAATATTTACTTCTTCAAGTTCTGCTTTAAATTCTATCTGTTCACTTTCTAATTTTGGTTCATTTGTGTCTGTTATAGCTTTCATTTCTAATAGTTCTTGTTCATATGCTAGTTCATGTAGGCCAACTTGTTTTTCCATAGTTTCAGCCCTTTTATCTGCTCTCTGTTTTCTGTTTCTTTTTTTCCGCTTTCCTTTTGGTTGTACAGTCTCTTCTACTTTATCTAATTCTGAAATGTCTTCTTCTTTATGCATGTCTGTAATAGCTCTTGATCTATTACACACTATTTCTATCATATCATCTAGTTCTCTCAATACATTTCCATGAGCTCGTCGGGGTTGTTCTGGTACTTCGTCCCATGCTTCTTTTGCTTCTTCTATGTCTTTTTCAAGTCGATTGGTTGCCCAGGCTATCTGCTTATTCATCTTCTTAATGCCTTGCGCCCTCGCTAGTGCTAGATATTCTTCAAAACATGACATTTTGATATATTTTCTATGACATAAAATATAAATTCATTAGTTGACAATAGATAAATGTTAATTAATTTACAATACCCTTTCTTGTATTCTGGCTTTGTTCAGTTGATTAGAGACATCTAGTAATCCAAGAAAAGTTCATAGTACATATAGGCCTATAGTACAAAAATAGTTCACTTTGTTGATTCCAAAAAGTTGAAAAAAATTCAAAATAGTTCTAGTAGCCTGTTACAGAGTAGAAATTTGTCCAGTTTTAGATAAGACATCTTTAGGAACAGTTTAGGAACAGTTACAAAAATAAACTTGATCTGCTAAATCCAAACAGTAGAAAAGAAACACTAAGACTTGATCGGCTAAATCCAAACAGAAAAAACACACAGACGATATTTACTCGACATTGGTGAGACAATATCGAAATAAGGTGATAAAAATTATCACGTTGATGACTTGACTTGAACAAGACGTCTGACTTGACTACAGCAACCCTTCTGACTTGAGTGTAGATAGATGACTTTCAAGAACTTGACGTACTTGGTAAACAGTGGAAGACCACTTCAAAAACGTTGAAAACTGCTTACAATGATAATGTGACAATTCTTGATCACTTGTAGTAACACTGTAACTTCGTTGACGATTTCAGACTTCAATATAATTTACCAATGTAACAACATCACTTCTTCAATTGCTTCTGACAATGTAACAGTAGAATCAGTAACAGTAGCACTTCTTCAACCACTTTTGACATCATATGTAACAGTAGTTGTGAAACAATAACTTTATTTACACTTTGTAATAATAGATCCATAGTAAATCCATGGTCACAACTGGTATAAGTACAATCACAGTCAAGAAACAAAGTGTCGTAGTAACATCCTACATTCACAGCCACAGTCCTCAGGTTCAAGTTCTAGCACACAACCCCCGTTCACCTTTCGCTCTCTCTTTTATTCGGTCCATTCTCTCCCCTTACGTACATGAGCGATCTCACCCAAAAGCATGGAAAAACACATGACGATCGCTCAGACAGTCCTTCCGCTAGCCAGGTACTCTTCATTCATGCAACTTCATGTAAAACACAATAATATAAACATAGCTAATTATACAGTCTGTGACACTTTTATAAAAGTTCTCAGTTATTACTTTATAATTGCAGCATAATAAATAAATAACAATGTTGAGGTGTTCACATTCTGATTCAGACATTGCAGTGCATATATTTAAAGATAGTCAAATTTGAAGTGTCCGACGATCTTTGTGTCATTTGTCTGATATCTTTTGTCCTCATCAATGTCATTGGTGCAAGTTTTTTTTTGTTTTGTTTCTATGATAATTATGTTAACTTGTCCAACATAAATTTTTACTATTTTTATACACTTTATTTATGCACACATACTATGAAATACTAGTAGATTTTTCTAGTCTTGTATTACGATGCATATGATTGACCATTTATTAATGATATTATTATATTGTCAATGTTTTATATATAAAACAAATTAGTTTTAGTATATCATATATCCGTCCACATTTTAGCTTGAGAATATTTAAGAATAAATTTTTACTGTATTAATTTTTTTTTTTTTTAAAAGCGCTCATCATATATTTAAAACATTTTATTTGAACTGTTTTTCTCCACGTTTCAGAGTTTACTTTCAATACTTAAAAATAAACATTCCTAAAATTAAATTGTTAGCAATTCAAGGTACACATTACATCACATGTGTGGGGAGCATTTCAAGGTACACATTACATCACATGTGTGGGGAGCAATTCAAGGTACACATTATATCACACATGTGGGGAGCATTTCAAGGTACACATTACATCACACGTGTGGGGGTTCTTCCAAAATGGACAGCTAGAGGAGAGTCAAATTACAATTTTTTATGGACCTTATAAATGGATGTCTAATTTATATGAGGTGTGCTCATTCTTGAATATTTATTTCAAGTGATTAGCCCCTTGAAGCTTACAAAAGAAAAAATTCACCTGTGTTGACCAAACTGTCACTGTAAAGGTAAAAAAAAAACAACCTGAATATAAGAGGTGCACCATACAAACCCATTCCACCCACTTAGACATTCTGTCTCTATATTTTAGATGTATATTTATGAACAATCATATGTTTCATTTTATAAAGTAGTTTTTATATAATTCAGCATTAAATACATTTTCATAATGTTGGTTTGTTTATTAGTCCTAAAACTTTTTGTTTGGTTGGACATTTTGGTCACAACTTAGCACAGTTGTATGTCTGATGACCACAACTTAGCACTGGTGTATGTCTGATGACCACAACTTAGCACTGGTGTGATGACCACAACTTAGCACTGGTGTAAGTCTAATGACCACAATTTAGCACTGGTGTATGTCTGATGACCACAACTTAGCACTGGTGTAAGTCTGATGACCACAGCTTAGCACTGGTGTGATGACCACAACTTAGCACTGGTGTAAGTCTAATGACCACAATTTAGCACTGGTCTGATGACCACAACTTAGCACTGGTGTAAGTCTGATGACCACAACTTAGCACTGGTGTATGTCTGATGACCACAACTTAGCACTGGTGTGATGACCACAACTTAGCACTGGTGTATGTCTGATGACCACAACTTAGCACTGGTGTATGTCTGATGACCACAACTTAGCACTGGTGTATGTCTGATGACCACAACTTAGCACTGGTGTAAGTCTGATGACCACAACTTAGCACTGGTCTGATGACCACAACTTAGCACTGGTGTAAGTCTGATGACCACAACTTAGCACTGGTCTGATGACCACAACTTAGCACTGGTGTATGTCTGATGACCACAACTTAGCACTGGTGTAAGTCTGATGACCACAACTTAGCACTGGTCTGATGACCACAACTTAGCACTGGTGTATGTCTGATGACCACAACTTAGCACTGGTGTAAGTCTGATGACCACAACTTAGCACTGGTCTGATGACCACAACTTAGCACTGGTGTAAGTCTGATGACCACAACTTAGCACTGGTGTAAGTCTGATGACCACAACTTAGCACTGGTCTGATGACCACAACTTAGCACTGGTCTGATGACCACAACTTAGCACTGGTGTAAGTCTGATGACCACAACTTAGCACTGGTGTAAGTCTGATGACCACAACTTAGCACTGGTGTATGTCTGATGACCACAACTTAGCACTGGTGTATGTCTGATGACCACAACTTAGCACTGGTGTAAGTCTGATGACCACAACTTAGCACTGGTCTGATGACCACAACTTAGCACTGGTGTATGTCTGATGACCACAACTTAGCACTGGTCTGATGACCACAACTTAGCACTGGTGTATGTCTGAAGACCACAACTTAGCACTGGTGTATGTCTGATGACCACAACTTTGCACTGGTGTAAGTCTGATGACCACAACTTAGCACTGGTCTGATGACCACAACTTAGCACTGGTGTATGTCTGATGACCACAACTTAGCACTGGTCTGATGACCACAACTTAGCACTGGTGTATGTCTGATGACCACAACTTAGCACTGGTGTAAGTCTGATGACCACAACTTAGCACTGGTGTATGTCTGATGACCACAACTTAGCACTGGTGTAAGTCTGATGACCACAACTTAGCACTGGTGTATGTCTGATGACCACAACTTAGCACTGGTCTGATGACCACAACTTAGCACTGGTGTACTGGTGTATGTCTGATGACCACAACTTAGCACTGGTGTAAGTCTGATGACCACAACTTAGCACTGGTCTGATGACCACAACTTAGCACTGGTGTATGTCTGATGACCACAACTTAGCATTGGTCTGATGACCACAACTTAGCACTGGTGTATGTCTGATGACCACAACTTAGCACTGGTCTGATGACCACAACTTAGCACTGGTGTATGTCTGATGACCACAACTTAGCACTGGTGTATGTCTGATGACCACAACTTAGCACTGGTGTATGTCTGATGACCACAACTTAGCACTGGTGTATGTTTGATGACCACAACTTAGCACTGGTGTATGTCTGATGACCACAACTTAGCACTGGTGTATGTCTGATGACCACAACTTAGCACTGGTCTGATGACCACAACTTAGCACTGGTGTATGTCTGATGACCACAACTTAGCACTGGTGTAAGTCTGATGACCACAACTTAGCACTGGTCTGATGACCACAACCTAGCACTGGTGTAAGTCTGATGACCACAACTTAGCACTGGTGTAAGTCTGATGACCACAACTTAGCACTGGTCTGATGACCACAACTTAGCACTGGTGTATGTCTGATGACCACAACTTAGCACTGGTCTGATGACCACAACTTAGCACTGGTGTATGTCTGATGACCACAACTTAGCACTGGTGTAAGTCTGATGACCACAACTTAGCACTGGTGTAAGTCTGATGACCACAACTTAGCACTGGTGTATGTCTGATGACCACAACTTAGCACTGGTGTATGTCTGATGACCACAACTTTGCACTGGTGTAAGTCTGATGACCACAACTTAGCACTGGTCTGATGACCACAACTTAGCACTGGTGTATGTCTGATGACCACAACTTAGCACTGGTCTGATGACCACAACTTAGCACTGGTGTATGTCTGATGACCACAACTTAGCACTGGTGTAAGTCTGATGACCACAACTTAGCACTGGTGTATGTCTGATGACCACAACTTAGCACTGGTGTAAGTCTGATGACCACAACTTAGCACTGGTGTATGTCTGATGACCACAACTTAGCACTGGTGTAAGTCTGATGACCACAACTTAGCACTGGTGTATGTCTGATGACCACAACTTAGCACTGGTGTAAGTCTGATGACCACAACTTAGCACTGGTGTATGTCTGATGACCACAACTTAGCACTGGTGTAAGTCTGATGACCACAACTTAGCACTGGTGTATGTCTGATGACCACAACTTAGCACTGGTGTATGTCTGATGACCACAACTTAGCACTGGTGTATGTCTGATGACCACAACTTAGCACTGGTGTAAGTCTGATGACCACAACTTAGCACTGGTCTGATGACCACAACTTAGCACTGGTGTATGTCTGATGACCACAACTTAGCACTGGTGTAAGTCTGATGACCACAACTTAGCACTGGTCTGATGACCACAACTTAGCACTGGTGTATGTCTGATGACCACAACTTAGCACTGGTCTGATGACCACAACTTAGCACTGGTGTATGTCTGATGACCACAACTTAGCACTGGTCTGATGACCACAACTTAGCACTGGTCTGATGACAACAACTTAGCACTGGTGTAAGTCTGATGACCACAACTTAGCACTGGTGTATGTCTGATGACCACAACTTAGCACTGGTGTAAGTCTGATGACCACAACTTAGCACTGGTGTATGTCTGATGACCACAACTTAGCACTGGTGTAAGTCTGATGACCACAACTTAGCACTGGTGTATGTCTGATGACCACAACTTAGCACTGGTGTAAGTCTGATGACCACAACTTAGCACTGGTGTATGTCTGATGACCACAACTTAGCACTGGTGTAAGTCTGATGACCACAACTTAGCACTGGTGTATGTCTGATGACCACAACTTAGCACTGGTGTATGTCTGATGACCACAACTTAGCACTGGTGTATGTCTGATGACCACAACTTAGCACTGGTGTAAGTCTGATGACCACAACTTAGCACTGGTCTGATGACCACAACTTAGCACTGGTGTATGTCTGATGACCACAACTTAGCACTGGTGTAAGTCTGATGACCACAACTTAGCACTGGTCTGATGACCACAACTTAGCACTGGTGTATGTCTGATGACCACAACTTAGCACTGGTGTAAGTCTGATGACCACAACTTAGCACTGGTCTGATGACCACAACTTAGCACTGGTGTATGTCTGATGACCACAACTTAGCACTGGTCTGATGACCACAACTTAGCACTGGTGTATGTCTGATGACCACAACTTAGCACTGGTCTGATGACCACAACTTAGCACTGGTCTGATGACCACAACTTAGCACTGGTGTATGTCTGATGACCACAACTTAGCACTGGTCTGATGACCACAACTTAGCACTGGTCTGATGACCACAACTTAGCACTGGTGTATGTCTGATGACCACAACTTAGCACTGGTCTGATGACCACAACTTAGCACTGGTCTGATGACCACAACTTAGCACGGGTGTATGTCTGATGACCACAACTTAGCACTGGTCTGATGACCACAACTTAGCACGGGTGTATGTCTGATGACCACAACTTAGCACTGGTCTGATGACCACAACTTAGCACTGGTGTATGTCTGATGAGCCAATAGAGTACAGCTCGAGACAGAACAGAGCAATAAAAAGCAAACAAATTGTCTGAAAATATGAATTTATTTCTGCATCCTTTGATAACATTTAACAATTGCTGCTAACATCAATTTGGGTCAAACATCACTTAGTTTTGTCAACCTATCTTTGACAGGACAGTCATCTCCTAATCAAAAAGTTACATCAATTGTACCATAACAAACTGGCCACAGTACAAAAGTTACATCAATTGTACCATAACAAACTGGCCACAGTACAAAAGTTACATCAATTGTACCATAGCAAACTGGCCACAATACAAAAGTTACATCAATTGTACCATAACAAACTGGCCACAGTACAAAAGTTACATCAATTGTACCATAGCAAACTGGCCACAATACAAAAGTTACATCAATTGTACCATAACAAACTGGCCACAGTACAAAAGTTACATCAATTGTACCATAACAAACTGGCCACAATACAAAAGTTACATCAATTGTACCATAACAAACTGGCCACAATACAAAAGTTACATTGATTGTATTTTGGCTTGTAGCCAAATTAATTAGGAGAAATCTGTTCACAGCACATCTAAAACTCCATCCAATATGAGAGTAGACAATTGACCACCCTCTTTAAACACTAGCAAGTCAAACAACCTCCAGCTGGCACAACCTAGGACAAAATGGTCAGCTCTGTCATTAGCAGATCTTATATGACAAGTTGTGCAAATAGCTCTAGATATCACGTCTGACAACACAAGTTGTGCAAATAGCTCTAGATATCACGTCTGACAACACAAGTTGTGCAAATAGCTCTAGATATCACGTCTGACAACACAAGTTGTGCAAATAGCTCTAGATATCACGTCTGACAACACAAGTTGTGCAAATAGTCCTGGATACCACCTCTGACAACCACACCAATAATTTAAAAACCAATCAGTGAGAGCTACATCTAGACTAATTTAAATGCCAGATCACAACAGAGAAGGAATGATTGCTACCAATAAATAACAGACTAAATGCCTTCTTGGTTTAAGATGGGATGATTGTAGTTTTGATTTTAAATGATTTTTTTATCAAGTGGAAAAATAAAAACAAAGCTAAATAATCTACATTTTAAAGCAATTTTTTAAAATGAAAAAAAAACAACAACAAAAAACACATGCAGTTTACAAGTAAAATAAAAATGACACGTTCACTTTGAAAAGGTAACTGGAAATACAAGAAAATGTCATCAGATCACACATTTGAAGTCAGTACAAGAACACATGGAGTCAGTACAAGAACACATGGAGTCAGTACAAGAACACATGGAGTCAGTTGGCAGGCTGTCAACATGTGCTCATGTTCACATGACAACTGTTCATGTGTTAAGTCCATGAACATGATGTGTGTGTCCTGAGTTCACTTTTCCTCAAATAAAACAATGACGGTTCTAAGGGCTGGGAGGGGGTGAAACAAGGGAAGTAACTCAACTAATTTGTAATGGACAGAATTGAATGACCACACCACTAAATCTCTAAACCCAATCATTCCAATTTGTAATTTTCACACTTAATGGACAAAAATTCAACTTTTAGATAAACTGCATATGGGTACAAGAAAAATGTAACATGACTAAGTTTGAAAGAAATTTGTATAGATATTTCCATAGTTTAAAAATTTCATAACAAAACTGTGGTTACATTTGTTGACAGTAGAAACAAAATCACAGCAAATATTTACAGACAAAAAAAAAGGATTTCTCTGATTAAATATGAGTGGCTAAACTAAACATCTGGTTAACTGGTCAGGCTAAACTAAACATCTGGTTAACTGGTCAGGCTAAACTAAACATCTGGTTAACTGGTCATTTTGTTACATAGTAAAGCCTGACATTGTACACAACATTTTTTTAAACATTAAAACTTTCTCCACAAGAATAAATTTATCTCAAAAAGGTTCAAATGTTCAACACAAGTGAACAGATGGAGGGGGAGGGGGGGAAGAGAGATGAATGGCAAGCATGTTTTCAAATGTGCAGCCATGTTTCTAACCAAAAATCAAAAGTTTATCTGGACAAAAATTATAGGCTATATTTCAGTAATTTTTACTGCAACTTAATTGAAATGTTTTTAAAAAAAAACGTCATTAAAAATTTTGGTAAAAAATTTTCCTCTAAGGAAAACAATAAGAAAATTTAAACCTCATTCAAGCTAAAACTTTAGTTTGCAACATAAAAAAAAAAGGACAATATTGTTCGTTTATAACAGTATTAAAAAGTGCATAATATAATTGGACCTTGGTGAAGCTAACAAAAAATGTCAGTGCTTTTTAAAATTGGAAATAAAAAACTAATTTGCCTTGTCTCACAAATAATACAATGAAAAATTGCCTGGTTTAAAATACATTTGGTAGTTTTACATATTAATAAGAATGTTAATACTAAACACGTTTGAAACAGTTTGGATTGCAAATGGTTAATACTTGAGAATTTGAATCCCAAAACTTTTGGCTAAGGCCATTATCAAATGTGCAACAAATAATGTGCTCATCAAAATAAAACATCACAGAATATTTATAGAAAGGTTGACTAGGGCTTAAAAAATGGCATTACTCAATCTCAATTTGTTCCAACATTCTTGTCAAAAAAACAACAGTTAATAAAACCAAAAGTAATAAAAAGAGATTCTTAAAAAAAGGGTTCAAAATGAGTTTGACTAAGATATGCAGTCAAGTGAAATAAAATACATTTCATACTTAAAAAACAAACCACTAGATAAAGAGCAGACATGAATGTGTGGGATTGGTTGTGGGTGTGTGTGTGTGTTTATCTGATTGAGCTGTGTGTGTGTGACTGTCCTCATGCTTGTGTACATGCTGTTATGTCAGGCAAGCATTGATTGAGAATGGGGGAGGCTGGACAGTCTACACACAGATGTATGACAACTTGAATGGGGGAGGCTGGACAGTCTACACACAGATGTATGACAACTTGAATGGGGGAGGCTGGACAGTCTACATACAGATGTATGACAACTTGAATGGGGGAGGCTGGACAGTCTACACACAGATGTATGACAACTTGAATGGGGGAGGCTGGACAGTCTACACACAGACGTATGACAACTTGAATACAGTGATATGAATGAGGAAAGACTTTGAATTGAACAACAACAGTAACACTGACTGTTTATCTAAACAACTTTTGGCAGTAAGAAACTAAATGCACACATGAAGCTAACAATATTGCTAAGATGAATAGCAAAAACAGTAGACTGTTATATTGTCATGGCTATTGAAAACACTAGAAAAAGTAGCCAGCTTGACTAGTCAACACATGAGATTCATAACACAAGCAACCAGACAAGAATCAGCTTTTAGGTGTAATGGAATTCCTTAAGTAGAGTCTCATCCTAAACCACTTAAGTATATATTGTTCATTTAAACTAAATCAATCATGTATAGATTCCATCTTTGGACTGGTCTAAAAACTTGACACATTGTTTAATTAATCACATTAGGGCATAACTTTAGCTTAATATACATTTTTAAATTTATAAAATAATTTTAATAACAAATATTTGTTGGCCTGTGCAACATAATGGCCAACCTGGCAGCCATCTGATGGCCAACCTGGCACACCTCTGATGGCCAACCTGGCACACCTCTGATGGCCAACCTGGCACACATCTGATGGCCAACCTGGCAGCCATCTGATGGCCAACCTGGCAGCCATCTGATGGCCAACCTGGCAGCCATCTGATGGCCAACCTGGCAGCCATCTGATGGCCAACCTGGCAGCCATCTGATGGCCAACCTGGCAGCCATCTGATGGCCAACCTGGCACACCTCTGATGGCCAACCTCTGATGGCCAACCTGGCAGCCATCTGATGGCCAACCTGGCAGCCATCTGATGGCCAACCTCTGATAGCCAACCTGGCAGCCATCTGATGGCCAACCTGGCACACCTCTGATGGCCAACCTCTGATGGCCAACCTGGCAGCCATCTGATGGCCAACCTGGCAGCCATCTGATGGCCAACCTGGCAGCCATCTGATGGCCAACCTGGCACACCTCTGATGGCCAACCTCTGATGGCCAACCTGGCAGCCATCTGATAGCCAACCTGGCAGCCATCTGATGGCCAACCTGGCACACCTCTGATGGCCAACCTGGCACACCTCTGATGGCCAATCTGGCAGCCATCTGATGGCCAACCTGGCAGCCATCTGATGGCCAACCTGGCACACATCTGATGGCCAACCTGGCACACCTCTGATGGCCAACCTTGCTGAGCACCTAGAAAAACTATATAAACTTCCATTCCATGAATGTATTGCTTAAGAAGGATAATGACACTAATATGGAAATATAGTTTGATAAATGTCAGGTTTGTTGCTTCTTATCAAATAAGGTTGTCAAGTTCAGGGAAAAAATATCTATTAACCCGGTTGTCATGGATGAAAAATATTTAACCTGATTGTCATGGGGGAAAAAAATTTAACCTGGTTGTCATGGAAAAAAATTAACCTGGTTGTCATGAAATTTTTTTTTAACCTGGTTGTCATGGGGAAAAAAATTTAACCTGGTTGTCATGGGGAAAAATATTTAACCTGGTTGTCATGGGGAAAAATAATTAACCTGGTTGTTATGAAAAAAAAATTAACCTGGTTGTCATGGAAAAAAAATTAACCTGGTTGTCATGGGGAAAAATATTTAACCTGGTTGTCATGGAAAAAATAATTAACCTGGTTGTCATGGAAAAAAAATTAACCTGGTTGTCATGAAAAAAAAAATTTAACCTGGTTGTCATAGATAGGGAAAAATATGTGAAACTGAGAGCAAAAATATAATAGAGTTATCTGATAGATACAAAGACACATAGAAGCATATGTTGACATCAGTAACAATAAGGCCTCAAGTCTAACACCCCACCAGAGGGTTTTCAAATAGGTGCACAGTTTTGATCAAAACAACTTCTACATGGGAAACACATCTGGCATCAAAAACATTGTCTTGCACAAATCATCTGGGCTAAATGTAAAAAACCTACAAAAATAAACTTTATGTGTACTCTGTGATTCCTGCTAGACAACAGAACCCTGGCCCATACCCTGACCTCGTGTAAAAAGCTTGTATCAACAGTTGCTCATGGAGTGTGTCCAGTCCAACAGAGGCTGCGGTGGTCTGCTGGTCTAGGAGTAGAAGGTGAGGACACTCTCCTGATTCCCTCGGACCAACAAGATGGGAGGCATGTCCCTGGTCAGGGTGTCTATCCAGCACATGTAGAGGCCAGCGCCACATGTGGCCTTGCGAGGCATGGGCAGGGTCCTAGACAAAGACACAAAGTCCAGACCAATACAATTTATTATCCTATGGACATCATGATACTTATAAACTGACTAATATTGTTATGCATTTTAGTAGAAGGTTGCATTTTTTGAAGGTTGGTGGCTAAATCTATTATATATTGGTGGCTAATTCTGTTATACATAGGTGGCTAATTCTGTTATTTATTGGTGGCTAATTCTATTATATATTGGTGGCTAATTCTGTTATACATACGTATGACTAAATGTGTTATACATAGGTGGCTAATACTCTTGTTCCATTTGGTCTCTATAAATTGAGATAATGTTGAGATAATGTTGTGATAATGTTGAGATAATGTTGAGATAATGTTGAGATAATGCTGAGATAATGTTGAGATAATGTTGAGATAATGCACAGCTTATAAAGAAAATGTGACTCACATGACTATTAGTGAAGCATCTTTAGATCTCTCAATCAGAAGTTCTCGCAGACGTATTTGCCTCAAAGTCTAAAAAAGAAACCACAACACAGCATATAGATTGACAATATTTCTATTCATTGTTTAAAAAAGTACTTTAAAAATAGTTTCAATTGAAAGAGTTAATCAACAAGGCGTGCACAATTGATATCAGTGTAAGAAGCCCAGGGGCAGAAAGTGTGTGTCAGATTGGTGAGAGGGAAACCTTTTCTCTGAGAATGTCGTACTCCTCCTCCGTGGTCTTCCAGGGGAACTTCTTCTTGGTCTCTCCTTTCTGCGTGTCCAGTCTCCAGTCAGCCAGGTAGGAATTGAACATCCTCACGCTGGGAAACAAGAAAATATGGAGCTGACCCAGACTAGAATAAACATGAAAACCTTTAGCATAAGGGCTTTGAATTCATAGAACAGTAAAAACAAAAACAAGAGTAGCAAAAACTACTCAATGATTTCAGGAGCATCAAAACACTCAAAGGACAATTAATGTTTATTTTCTTATTTTTAGTGTTCAGAAAATTGACTATTTTTTAACCTTTTGAAACCCTTTGATTGATATTATGTTCAATATACAGTCCTTTTGTAATGTATTATATAATATATGTGTTATTACACGAGCTGACCCTATTTTTCATATTTTGTAAATTCAACACTACCAATGCTGTATTTTTCACTAAAAACTTATTAGCACAATGATGATAATGAGCTGCACAAATTATCTTAACAAATAGACTGATTGTGAGTTAAATCTAGATCCTGGTAGAAAAAACACTGTGAAGTAAGGCAACAATCTCAACTAGCACTATTGAATTCATACTATGACATATGCTACAGAACAATCTCAACTAGCACTATTGAATTCATACTATGACATATGCTACAGAACAATCTCAACTAGCACTATTGAATTCATACTATGACATATGCTACAGAACAATCTCAACTAGCACTATTGAATTCATACTATGACATATGCTACAGAACAATCTCAACTAGCACTATTGAATTCATACTATGACATATGCTACAGAACAATCTCAACTAGCACTATTGAATTCATACTATGACATATGCTACAGAACAATCTCAACTAGCACTATTGAATTCATACTATGACATATGCTACAGAACAATCTCAACAAGCACTATTGAATTCATACTATGACATATGCTACAGAACAATCTCAACTAGCACTATTGAATTCATACTATGACATATGCTACAGAACAATCTCAACTAGCACTATTGAATTCATACTATGACATATGCTACAGGCCTAGTGTTGTCTAAACCAGTGGCTCAGGGTTTTCTGCTTCTGACAATGCTGAAAATGGGAGTGGGTGATGGTTGGAATGTGCATTGTCTTGAATAATTAAAAAATAGTTTGAAAAAAAAACATCTTTATCTAGAGAAGATGTTATGATGTAAAACTAGTCTTGAATAATTAAAAAAAATATCTTTATCTAGAGAAGATGGTATGGACTAGTCTTGAATCACAAAGTACCACATGTATTCTTTGGTTTATCTGAATGAAGTCAACACTTGTAAAATATCTGCCTAGTAACAGATTCTCTCACTGACAGTTTTGAGTTACCTTTCTTCACTCGGCTTCTTATTGATCTCTGGCAGCACTGTCATATCTTTGCAGTCAATTCTGAATTTGGCCAACAGGGTTGCCAACCTGTCAAGTTGATCAACAATTAATGTACAACGTGAGAAGTAAGTGGAAAGCATACTCTGTTTTCCTTAACATGGGAAACAACCTTCAGACAAATGAAAGCATTCTTTGTTTTCCTTAACATGGGAGACAACCTTTAGAAAAGTGAAAGCATTCTTTGTTTTCCTTAACATGGGAGACAACCTTTAGAAAAATATTCTTTGTTTTCCTTAACATGGGAGACAACCTTTAGAAAAATATTCTTTGTTTTCCTTACTGTCTCTGTTCATAGCCCAAGTCTCCTCGTTTGGTGCCAGCAGCAAATACACGCAGTCTACAGCCTCTCCAGTAGGGCTTGGTTGTCAAAATATAGGGCAGTAGTAGAGTCAGGCCTGCAAATATAGGGCAGTGGTAGAGTCAGGCCTGCAAATATAGGGCAGTAGTAGAGTCAGGCCTGCAAATATAGGGCAGTGGTAGAGTCAGGCCTGCAAATATAGGGCAGTAGTAGAGTCAGGCCTGCAAATATAGGGCAGTGGTAGAGTCAGGCCTGCAAATATAGGGCAGTAGTAGAGTCAGGCCTGCAAATATAGGGCAGTGGTAGAGTCAGGCCTGCAAATATAGGGCAGTGGTAGAGTCAGGCCTGCAAATATAGGGCAGAAGTAGAGTCAGGCCTGCAAATATAGGGCAGTGGTAGAGTCAGGCCTGCAAATATAGGGCAGTGGTAGAGTCAGGCCTGCAAATATAGGGCAGTGGTAGAGTCAGGCCTGCAAATATAGGGCAGAAGTAGAGTCAGGCCTGCAAATATAGGGCAGTGGTAGAGTCAGGCCTGCAAATATAGGGCAGTGGTAGAGTCAGGCCTGCAAATATAGGGCAGTGGTAGAGTCAGGCCTGCAAATATAGGGGAGTAGTAGAGTCAGGCCTGCAAATATAGGGCAGAAGTAGAGTCAGGCCTGCAAATATAGGGCAGAAGTAGAGTCAGGCCTGCAAATATAGGGCAGTGGTAGAGTCAGGCCTGCAAATATAGGGCAGAAGTAGAGTCAGGCCTGCAAATATAGGGCAGAAGTAGAGTCAGGCCTGCAAATATAGGGCAGAAGTAGAGTCAGGCCTGCAAATATAGGGCAGTAGTAGAGTCAGGCCTGCAAATATAGGGCAGAAGTAGAGTCAGGCCTGCAAATATAGGGCAATGGTAGAGTCAGGCCTGCAAATATAGGGCAGAAGTAGAGTCAGGCCTGCAAATATAGGGCAGAAGTAGAGTCAGGCCTGCAAATATAGGGCAGTAGTAGAGTCAGGCCTGCAAATATAGGGCAGTAGTAGAGTCAGGCCTGCAAATATAGGGCAGTGGTAGAGTCAGGCCTGCAAATATAGGGCAGAAGTAGAGTCAGGCCTGCAAATATAGGGCAGAAGTAGAGTCAGGCCTGCAAATATAGGGCAGTAGTAGAGTCAGGCCTGCAAATATAGGGCAGTGGTAGAGCCAGGCCTGCAAATATAGGGCAGAAGTAGAGTCAGGCCTGCAAATATAGGGCAGTGGTAGAGTCAGGCCTGCAAATATAGGGCAGAAGTAGAGTCAGGCCTGCAAATATAGGGCAGAAGTAGAGTCAGGCCTGCAAATATAGGGCAGTAGTAGAGTCAGGCCTGCAAATATAGGGCAGTAGTAGAGTCAGGCCTGCAAATATAGGGCAGTGGTAGAGTCAGGCCTGCAAATATAGGGCAGTGGTAGAGTCAGGCCTGCAAATATAGGGCAGTAGTAGAGTCAGGCCTGCAAATATAGGGCAGAAGTAGAGTCAGGTCTGCAAATATAGGGCAGAGGTAGAGTCAGGCCTGCAAATATAGGGCAGAAGTAGAGTCAGACCTGCAAATATAGGGCAGTAGTAGAGTCTGGCCTGCAAATATAGGGCAGTGGTAGAGTCAGGCCTGCAAATATAGGGCAGTAGTAGAGTCAGGCCTGCAAATATAGGGCAGTAGTAGAGTCAGGCCTGCAAATATAGGGCAGTGGTAGAGTCAGGCCTGCAAATATAGGGCAGTAGTAGAGTCAGGCCTGCAAATATAGGGCAGTGGTAGAGTCAGGGCTGCAAATATAGGGCAGTAGTAGAGTCAGGCCTGCAAATATAGGGCAGTAGTAGAGTCAGGCCTGCAAATATAGGGCAGTGGTAGAGTCAGGCCTGCAAATATAGGGCAGAAGTAGAGTCAGGCCTGCAAATATAGGGCAGAAGTAGAGTCAGGCCTGCAAATATAGGGCAGTGGTAGAGTCTGGCCTGCAAATATAGGGCAGTAGTAGAGTCAGGCCTGCAAATATAGGGCAGTGGTAGAGTCAGGCCTGCAAATATAGGGCAGTAGTAGAGTCAGGCCTGCAAATATAGGGCAGTAGTAGAGTCAGGCCTGCAAATATAGGGCAGTGGTAGAGTCAGGCCTGCAAATATAGGGCAGTAGTAGAGTCAGGCCTGCAAATATAGGGCAGTGGTAGAGTCAGGGCTGCAAATATAGGGCAGTAGTAGAGTCAGGCCTGCAAATATAGGGCAGTAGTAGAGTCAGGCCTGCAAATATAGGGCAGTGGTAGAGTCAAGCCTGCAAATATAGGGCAGAAGTAGAGTCAGGCCTGCAAATATAGGGCAGAAGTAGAGTCAGGCCTGCAAATATAGGGCAGTGGTAGAGTCTGGCCTGCAAATATAGGGCAGTGGTAGAGTCAGGCCTGCAAATATAGGGCAGAAGTAGAGTCAGGCCTGACCACCATCATCAAACAGCTGCCCATACTCACCACCATCATCAAACAGCCACCAGACATCAATAGTTCCCCTCTCTTTGTTGCGGAACTTGTTCATGGTTTTTAGTACCTGCAGAAGGATGGGAAGATATGTCAAGTGACTAACAGGGGAGGGTACATAACTCTAAGACAGTTTCTTGAGTGTTGTTTAAACTGTATCAGGGGAGGGTACATAACTCTATGACAGTTTCTTGAGTGTTGTTTAAACTGTATCAGGGGAGGGTACATAACTCTAAGACAGTTTCTTGAGGGTTGTTTAAACTGTATCAGGGGAGGGTACATAACTCTAAGACAGTTTCTTGAGTGTTGTTTAAACTGTATCAGGGGAGGGGTTATAAGTTACCTGAGTGTTAAGTTTACACAGAATTAGTGGAGGGGTTATAAGTTACCTGAGTGTTAAGTTTACACAGAATTAGTGGAGGGGTTATAAGTTACCTGAGTGTTAAGTTTACACAGAATTAGTGGAGGGGTTATAAGTTACCTGAGTGTTAAGTTTACACAGAATTAGTGGAGGGGTTATAAGTTACCTGAGTGTTAAGTTTACACAGAATTAGTGGAGGTGTTATAAGTTACCTGAGTGTTAAGTTTACACAGAATTAGTGGAGGGGTTATAAGTTACCTGAGTGTTAAGTTTACACAGAATTAGTGGAGGGGTTATAAGTTACCTGAGTGTTAAGTTTACACAGAATTAGTGGAGGGGTTATAAGTTACCTGAGTGTTAAGTTTACACAGAATTAGTGGATTGTTAAGGTCAAGGCCATCTCCTCGACCTTCTTCTTCTTCTAGGTTCACTTTTGACTTGCTGGCACCGAGAGATTTCCCATTGCTCTGTCCCTTCTCCATCTCACTCTCATCTCTGCTGACCACTGGCGCAGCGGCTGGAGTACCCCGGGGGCTGTCATCATCACTGGCATCTAAACACAAGCAACAGCTGTCATCTAAACACAAGCAACAGCTGGCATCTAAACACAAGCAACAGCTGTCATCTAAACACAAGCAACAGCTGTCATCTAAACACAAGCAACAGCTGTCATCTAAACACAAGCAACAGCTGTCATCTAAACACAAGCAACAGCTGTCATCATCACTGGCATCTAAACACAAGCAACAGCTGTCATCTAAACACAAGCAACAGCTGTCATCTAAACACAAGCAACAGCTGTCATCTAAACACAAGCAACAGCTGTCATCTAAACACAAGCAACAGCTGTCATCTAAACACAAGCAACAGCTGTCATCTAAACACAAGCAACAGCTGTCATCTAAACACAAGCAACAGCTGTCATCTAAACACAAGCAACAGCTGTCATCTAAACACAAGCAACAGCTGTCATCTAAACACAAGCAACAGCTGTCATCTAAACACAAGCAACAGCTGTCATCTAAACACAAGCAACAGCTGTCATCTAAACACAAGCAACAGCTGTCATCTAAACACAAGCAACAGCTGTCATCTAAACACAAGCAACAGCTGTCATCTAAACACAAGCAACAGCTGTCATCTAAACACAAGCAACAGCTGTCATCTAAACACAAGCAACAGCTGTCATCTAAACACAAGCAACAGCTGTCATCTAAACACAAGCAACAGCTGTCATCTAAACACAAGCAACAGCTGTCATCTAAACACAAGCAACAGCTGTCATCTAAACACAAGCAACAGCTGTAATCTAAACACAAGCAGCAGCTGTCATCTAAACACAAGCAACAGCTGTCATCTAAACACAAGCAACAGCTGTCATCTAAACACAAGCAACAGCTGTAATCTAAATACAAGCAACAGCTGTCATCTAAATACAAGCAACAGCTGTCATCATCACTGTCATCTAAACACAAGCAACAGCTGTCATCTAAACACAAGCAACAGCTGTCATCTAAACACAAGCAACAGCTGTCATCTAAACACAAGCAACAGCTGTCATCTAAATACAAGCAACAGCTGTCATATAAATACAAGCAACAGCTGTCATCTAAACACAAGCAACAGCTGTCATCTTAACACAAGCAACAGCTGTCATCTAAACACAAGCAACAGCTGTCATTTAAACACAAGCAACAGCTGTCATCTAAATACAAGCAACAGCTGTCATCTAAACACAAGCAACAGCTGTCATCTAAGCACAAGCAACAGCTGTCATCTAAACACAAGCAACAGCTGTCATCTAAACACAAGCAACAGCTGTCATCTAAATACAAGCAACAGCTGTCATCTACACACAAGCAACAGCTGTCATCATCACTGTCATCTAAACACAAGCAACAGCTATCATCTAAACACAAGCAACAGCTGTCATCTAAACACAAGAAACAGCTGTCATCTAAACACAATCAACAGCTGTCATCTAAACACAAGCAACAGCTGTCATCTAAATACAAGCAACAGCTGTCATCTAAATACAAGCAACAGCTGTCATCTACACACAAGCAACAGCTGTCATCATCACTGTCATCTAAACACAAGCAACAGCTGTCATCTAAACACAAGCAACAGCTGTCATCTAAACACAAGCAACAGCTGTCATCTAAACACAAGCAACAGCTGTAATCTAAATACAAGCAACAGCTGTCATCATCACTGTCATCTAAACACAAGCAACAGCTGTCATCTAAACACAAGCAACAGCTGTCATCTAAACACAAGCAACAGCTGTCATCATCACTGGCATCTAAACACAAGCAACAGCTGTCATCTAAACACAAGCAACAGCTGTCATCTAAACACAAGCAACAGCTGTCATCTAAATACAAGCAACAGCTGTCATTTAAACACAAGCAACAGCTGTCATCTAAACACAAGCAACAGCTGTCATCATCACTGGCATCTAAACACAAGCAACAGCTGTAATCTAAATACAAGCAACAGCTGTCATCTAAACACAAGCAACAGCTGTCATCTAAACACAAGCAACAGCTGGCATCTAAACACAAGCAACAGCTGTCATCTAAACACAAGCAACAGCTGTCATCTAAACACAAGCAACAGCTGTCATCTAAATACAAGCAACAGCTGTCATCTAAACACAAACAACAGCTGTCATCTAAACACAAGCAACAGCTGTCATCATCACTGTCATCTTAACACAAGCAACAGCTGTCATCTAAACACAAGCAACAGCTGGCATCTAAACACAAGCAACAGCTGTCATCATCACTGGCATCTGAATACAAGCATGATGCCAGTGTACAGATGGGAGAGTTGTACGACATGATGCCAGTGTACAGATGGGAGAGTTGTACGACATGATGCCAGTGTACAGATGGGAGAGTTGTACGACATGATGCCAGTGTACAGATGGGTTTCTGAGCTACAAAGTCAGGCAACAAACCATCATCATCTTGTCCCAGGTCCTCATGAAATACTGACGTGTTTGTCTCAATGTCAAGGCCAAAACCTTCCTTCACTCGCAGGATGCCCACGCCCATCTTCAGGTCAAAGGCATCGCTGAGAAAGTTAATGAAATACATGCATCACTGCAAAAGTTAGCATGGTCATCAAATATGTTATATGGTGACATTTGTCAGCAGTAGAAACTCAAATCTGTTAGGTGGATGCCACATTTTGTCAGCTGGATTGATTAATAAGGTAGCCAAGCACTATGAAAACATTCCAGGCAGATCCCAGGGGAAATCTGGGCAGATCAGATGGTACAGGCCAGTAAGAAGTGGGAACAGCTGAAAAAGTGGCAGGAGACTGAGCTGAGTTCCACAAGGAAAGAAAATGATGAAGTATAGTACAGGCCAGTAAGAAGTGGGAACAGCTGAAATAGTGGCAGGAGACTGAGCTGAGTTCCACAAGGAAAGAAAATGATGAAGTATAGTACAGGCCAGTAAGAAGTGGGAACAGCTGAAATAGTGGCAGGAGACTGAGCTGAGTTCCACAAGGAAAGAAAATGATGAAGTATAGTACAGGCCAGTAAGAAGTGGGAACAGCTGAAATAGTGGCAGGAGACTGAGCTGAGTTCTACAAGGAAAGAAAATGATGAAGTATAGCACAGGCCAGTAAGAGACAGTTGAAAAATCAGGTAGATGAATTTATAAGGTTGGGTAATGAATGCCAAATAGTTATTAAACATGCTCATGCACCACAAAGTCTCCTGATGAAGACAATCTACCTGGTTTTTCTAGGGCTCCACTCTACAAGTATAGTGCTTTGCTCTACAAGTCTAGGGCTCCACTCTACAAATCTCCACTCTACAAGTATAGTGCTCCTGCTCTACAAGTCTAGGGATCCACCCTACAAGTCTAGGTCCCCATGCTACAAGTCTAGGGCTCTGCCCTACAACTCTAGGGCTCCACCCTACAAGTCTAGGACTCTGCCCTACAACTCTAGGGCTCCACCCTACAAGTCTAGGACTCTGCCCTACAACTCTAGGGCTCCACCCTACAAGTCTAGGGCTCCACCCTACAAGTCTAGGGCTCCACCCTACAAGTCTAGGGCTCTGCCCTACAACTCTAGGGCTCCACTCTACAAGTCTAGGACTCTGCCCTACAACTCTAGGGCTCCACTCTAAAAGTCTAGGGCTCCACCCTACAAGTCTAGGGCTCTGCCCTACAACTCTAGGGCTCCACTCTACAAGTCTAGGACTCTGCCCTACAAGTTATTTGGGACGAAAAGTGTGGCTAAAAACTTACTGGATGACATCCAGGTACTGCTGAACAGAATCAGGGTTGTCTGTTTGCCAGTTGGACTTGAAGCCCAAAATCAGCAAGTTTGGACGGAATTTTCCAATGCCCACATTCTGAAAGATAAGCACAATATCAACTTACAACTCACAGCTGAGATAGCAAGACACATACTATTAACTAGGGCAGACAAGGCATTAACTAGGGCAGACAAGACATTAACTAGGGCAGACAAGGCATTAACTAGGGCAGACAAGGCATTAACTAGGGCAGACAAGACATTAACTAGGGCAGACAAGGCATTAACTAGGGCAGACAAGGCATTAACTAGGGCAGACAAGACATTAACTAGGGCAGACAAGGCATTAACTAGGGCAGACAAGGCATTAACTAGGGCAGACAAGACATTAACTAGGGCAGACAAGACATTAACTAGGGCAGACAAGGCATTAACTAGGGCAGACAAGGCATTAACTAGGGCAGACAAGACATTAACTAGGGCAGACAAGGCATTAACTAGGGCAGACAAGGCATTAACTAGGGCAGACAAGACATTAACTAGGGCAGATAAGACCAAGGCAGAGAAAACAGTTGCCACCTACTTGCATCAAGGCCTGGGCCCCCAGCTGAAAGGTTGAGGCTGTAGTAACTGAATAAAATGATTTGATGTGACGATTGCTGAAGTAGTTGTACGGAGCCTCTGAGTGGATCTTCCGCAAGTTGTCAGCTTGCTTACCCTGCAGGAAAAAAACATTGGTGTAAATTTCAGATTGTACTGAACTCAGCTAGATAACTTACATCAGTACACAGGACATTTACAATGATGACACACAGCACACTTACAATTAAAACATTCCCACACAGAAAACTTACAATTAAAACATTCCCACACAGAAAACTTACAATGATAACATTTTCAAACAAAATCCTTACAATGATAACATTCCCACACAGAATACTTACAATGATAACATTCCCACACAGAATACTTACAATGATAACATTCCCACACAGAATACTTACAATGATAACATTCCCACAAACCATGAGCCCCATCTTGCGTGTGATGTGTGTGCAGAAATCTACCAGTGCTGGTCTCGTTTCTGGTTCGCCAGACATCACCAAAACCTGCGGCCTACAAAATATTTTTTAATAAAATATCATCAAAACCTGCAGCCTACAAAATATTTTTCATAAAAACATCACCAAAACCTGCGGCCTGCAAAATATTTTTTTATAAAACATCACCAGGACTTGTGGCCTACAAAATATTTTTTTATAAAACATCACCAGGACCTGCGACCTACAAAATATTTTTTTATAAAACATCACCAGGACCTGCGGCCTACAAAATATTTTTTTATAAAACATCACCAGGACTTGTGGCCCACAAAATATTTTTTTATAAAACATCACCAGGACCTGCGGCCTACAAAATATTTTTTTATAAAACATCACCAGGACCTGCGACCTACAAAATATTTTTTTATAAAACATCACCAGGACCTGTGGCCTACAAAATATTTTTTTATAAAACATCACCAGGACCTGCGACCTACAAAATATTTTTTTATAAAACATCACCAGGATTTGTGGCCTACAAAATATTTTTTTATAAAACATCACCAGGACTTGTGGCCCACAAAATATTTTTTTATAAAACATCACCAGGACCTGCGGCCTACAAAATATTTTTTACCCTGTAACTCCAGCATAAAGAGCTGACTTAAAATGTCTAGATACCTCCAGAAATTGAGCTAACCTGAAATTTTTTACATGAGTTCCAATCCTAACCAGCTTGAGGGCAGACTGCAGGACACTCCTGTAGACATGGGCCTGGGTGGATGACCCCCAGTTGACATCTGTAAACAAACCATGTCAATCTAACAGAGCTGCTGTGACAACCCCCCCCATCTTCACAAAATGTCAGACCCCCCCTCTCTCAAACTACCAGCCTTCAGGTTGCCCTACACCCAAAACTACATGTTATGGTTGTTAGAAAGATTGATTTTTTTCTAAAATATTATTAAGCTATGTTTCTCCCAGTGACCTGGCTTACTGGAGTCTAGTGACTTGGTTCCCCCAGTGACCTGGCTTACTGGAGTCTAGTGACTTGGTTCTCCCAGTGACCTGGCTTACTGGAGTCTAGTGACTTGGTTCCCCCAGTGACCTGGCTTACTGGAGTCTAGTGACTTGGTTCCCCCAGTGACCTGGCTTACTGGAGTCTAGTGACTTGGTTCCCCCAGTGACCTGGCTTACTGGAGTCTAGTGACTTGGTTCCCCCAGTGACCTGGCTTACTGGAGTCTAGTGACTTGGTTCCCCCAGTGACCTGGCTTACTGGAGTCTAGTGACATGGTTCCCCCAGTGACCTGGCTTACTGGAGTCTAGTGACTTGGTTCTCCCTGACCTAGTTTCTTTTGACCTACTGACCTAGTTTCCTCTGACCTATTGACATGACTACCTCTAAGCTACCTTTTTTGCCCTTCTTACCAGGTGAGCTGTGATAAGGCTTCCTGTGACCTACTCACCTGGTTTCCTGTGATGGACATAGAGGAAGAGAGTTCCCACACAACCAAAGGTGACAAAGGCAGTGATCCAGTTGATGATGAACATGACAACAATACACAGGACTGCCCCACCAAGGCTCAGCCACTTGCTATAGAAGCGAAAAGATGGCCGCCAGCCTGAAACAAATAAACAGCTTACAAGTTAGAGTACACTTAGAGTACACCATGGGACCAGCAAAGTCTAGAGAGGGAAGAACTTAGGACCAGCAAAGTCTAGTGAGGGAAGAACTTAGGACCAGTAAAGTCTAGTGAGGGAAGAACTTAGAGTACACCATGGGACCAGCAAAGTCTAGTGAGGGAAGAACTTAGAGTACACCATGGGACCAGCAAAGTCTAGTGAGGGAAGAACGTAGGACCAGCAAAGTCTAGTGAGTGAAGAACTTAAGAGTGCACCATGGGACCAGCAAAGTCTAGTGAGGGAAGAACTTAGGACCAGCAAAGTCTAGTGAGTGAAGAACTTAGGACCAGTAAAGTCTAGTGAGGGAAGAACTTAGAGTACACCATGGGACCAGCAAAGTCTAGTGAGGGAAGAACTTAGGACCAGTAAAGTCTAGTGAGGGAAGAACTTAAGAGTGCACCATGGGACCAGCAAAGTCTAGTGAGGGAAGAACTTAGAGTACACCATGGGACCAGCAAAGTCTAGTGAGGGAAGAACTTAGGACCAGCAAAGTCTAGTGAGGGAAGAACTTAGAGTACACCATGGGACCAGTAAAGTCTAGTGAGGGAAGAACTTAGAGTACACCATGGGACCAGCAAAGTCTAGTGAGGGAAGAACTTAGGACCAGTAAAGTCTAGTGAGGGAAGAACTTAGGACCAGTAAAGTCTAGTGAGGGAAGAACTTAGAGTACACCATGGGACCAGCAAAGTCTAGTGAGGGAAGAACTTAGGACCAGTAAAGTCTAGTGAGGGAAGAACTTAGGACCAGCAAAGTCTAGTGAGGGAAGAACTTAGGACCAGTAAAGTCTAGTGAGGGAAGAACTTAGGACCAGTAAAGTCTAGTGAGGGAAGAACTTAGGACCAGCAAAGTCTAGTGAGGGAAGAACTTAGGACCAGCAAAGTCTAGTGAGGGAAGAACTTAGAGTACACCATGGGACCAGCAAAGTCTAGTGAGGGAAGAACTTAGGACCAGTAAAGTCTAGTGAGGGAAGAACTTAGGACCAGCAAAGTCTAGTGAGGGAAGAACTTAGGACCAGTAAAGTCTAGTGAGGGAAGAACTTAGGACCAGTAAAGTCTAGTGAAGGAAGAACTTAGAGTACACCATGGGACCAGCAAAGTCTAGTGAGGGAAGAACTTAGGACCAGTAAAGTCTAGTGAGGGAAGAACTTAGGACCAGCAAAGTCTAGTGAGGGAAGAACTTAGGACCAGTAAAGTCTAGTGAGGGAAGAACTTAGGACCAGTAAAGTCTAGTGAGGGAAGAACTTAGAGTACACCATGGGACCAGCAAAGTCTAGTGAGGGAAGAACTTAGGACCAGTAAAGTCTAGTGAGGGAAGAACTTAGGACCAGCAAAGTCTAGTGAGGGAAGAACTTAGGACCAGTAAAGTCTAGTGAGGGAAGAACTTAGGACCAGTAAAGTCTAGTGAGGGAAGAACTTAGAGTACACCATGGGACCAGCAAAGTCTAGAGAGGGAAGAACTTAGGACCAGCAAAGTCTAGTGAGGGAAGAACTTAGGACCAGTAAAGTCTAGTGAGGGAAGAACTTAGGACCAGCAAAGTCTAGTGAGGGAAGAACTTAGAGTACACCATGGGACCAGTAAAATCTAGTGAGGGAAGAACTTAGGACCAGTAAAGTCTAGTGAGGGAAGAACTTAGGACCAGCAAAGTCTAGTGAGGGAAGAACTTAGGACCAGTAAAGTCTAGTGAGGGAAGAACTTAGGACCAGTAAAGTCTAGAGAGGGAAGAACTTAGGACCAGCAAAGTCTAGAGAGGGAAGAACTTAGGACCAGTAAAGTCTAGTGAGGGAAGAACTTAGAGTACACCATGGGACCAGCAAAGTCTAGTGAGGGAAGAACTTAGGACCAGTGTTACGGGCCAGTTGTAGGTTAGATTAGAATAGTTTAGAATAGTCTAGAACTAGGGGAGAGTGCCTGTGTGAGTGGAGTTCACCTTACTGTGTAGTTACCCTTGTGTGTTTATGTCTTGTAATCCCAAGGTCGAATGCGGGTATAAAAGGGGGAGTGAACGATTGTGGGGGGCAGTCAGCGGGTTAGTAGCGGTTAGGACGAGGGCTGTTATGGTACGCTTGAATGCATTGAGACAAATAAAAGGAGTGAAATTATACACGAAGCGTTGTTATTGATTTGAAATGAACCCAGAACGTAACAACTGGTGGCCAGTATAAATCAAGTAGAAGCATAAACTTGATGCTGTCCTGTCGTTTGCCTGATGCTGCCCTGATGTTTGCCTGATGCTGTCCTGCCGTTGCCTGATGCTGTCCTGTCGTTTGCCTGATGCTGTCCTGTCGTTTGCCTGATGATGTCCTGATGTTTGCCGTTGGCTGTCCTGATGTTTGCCGGTTGCTGTCCTGATGTTTGCCGGTTGCTGTCCTGATGTTTGCCGGTTGCTGTCCTGATGTTTGCCGGTTGCTGTCCTGATGTTTGACGGTTGCTGTCCTGATGTGTGCCGGTTGCTGTCCTGATGTTTGCCGGTTGCTGTCCTGATGTTTGCCGGTTGCTGTCCTGATGTTTGCCGCTTGCTTTCTGATGTTTGCCGGTTGCTGTCCTGATGTTTGCCGGTTGCTGTCCTGATGTTTGCCGGTTGCTGTCCTGATGTTTGCCGGTTGCTGTCCTGTTGTTTGCCGGTTGCTGTCCTGATGTTTGCCGGTTGCTGTCCTGATGTTTGCCGGTTGCTGTCCTGATGTTTGCCGGTTGCTGTCCTGATGTTTGCCGGTTGCTGTCCTGACGTTTGCCGGTTGCTGTCCTGACGTTTGTTGGATGCTGTCCTGACGTTTGATGGATGCTGTGGGAATGCCGTTAGCCCGACGCTATAGCTGTTTGACAGAGTATGTAACAACATCGACTGTGAGTTGCACATTTTTGTGATGTAGAATGGTTGAGATATAGGTAGGAGTCGTAAACCAGTGTAGCCATAGAGCGCACAGGGTAGACTCAAATTTTTGTGATGTAGAATGGTTGAGATATGAGTAGGAGTCATAAACCAGTGTAGCCATAGAGCGCAGGTTGACTCAAATTTTTTGTGATGTAGAATGGTTGAGATATAGGTAGGAGTCGTAAACCAGTGTAGCCATAGAGCGCACAGGGTAGACTCAAATTTTTGTGATGTAGAATGGTTGAGATATGAGTAGGAGTCATAAACCAGTGTAGCCATAGAGCGCAGGTTGACTCAAATTTTTTGTGATGTAGAATGGTTGAGATATAGGTAGGAGTCGTAAACCAGTGTAGCCATAGAGCGCACAGGGTAGACTCAAATTTTTGTGATGTAGAATGGTTGAGATATGAGTAGGAGTCGTAAACCAGTGTAGCCATAGAGCGCAGGTTGACTCAAATTTTTTTTGTGATGTAGAAGGGTTGAGATATGGGTAGGAGTCGTAAACCAGTGTAGCCATAGAGCGCAGGTTGACTCAAATTTTTTGTGTGATGTGGAATGGTTGAGATATAGGTAGGAGTCGTAAACCAGTGTAGCCATAGAGCGCACAGGGTAGACTCAAATTTTTGTGATGTAGAATGGTTGAGATATGAGTAGGAGTCGTAAACCAGTGTAGCCATAGAGCACAGGTTGACTCAAATTTTTTTTGTGTGATGTGGAATGGTTGAGATATGAGTAGGAGTCGTAAACCAGTGTAGCCATAGAGCGCACAGGGTAGACTCAAATTTTTGTGATGTAGAATGGTTGAGATATGAGTAGGAGTCGTAAACCAGTGTAGCCATAGAGCGCACAGGGTAGACTCAAATTTTTTTGTGATGTAGAATGGTTGAGATATGGGTAGGAGTCGTAAACCAGTGCAGCCAGAGAGCGCACAGGGTAGACTCAAAAAAAATTGTGGTCTGGAAAGTTCTTAGATTCGGTACGATGCAACTGGGTGTGTATGATTTTTTTTTTGTTTGTTTGTTAGTTACACGGATGATTTGTGCTAGCTCGAAATTGTAGCAGTTCTGTATGTTGTCATTATGTATTTCATTGTATATACAATCTGTCATATACATTCTTCGGAATGTATATTTTTAACTTGTCTACTAGTGTATGTGTATGAAAGGCTTGTGTTTTTTATTTAGCTAGGATTTGTTAGTCAGTATTTGTAGTTATTACTACAAATACTTAGGTGGGGGGTAGTGTTACGGGCCAGTTGTAGGTTAGATTAGAATAGTTTAGAATAGTCTAGAACTAGGGGAGAGTGCCTGTGTGAGTGGAGTTCACCTTACTGTGTAGTTACCCTTGTGTGTTTATGTCTTGTAATCCCAAGGTCGAATGCGGGTATAAAAGGGGGAGTGAACGATTGTGGGGGGCAGTCAGCGGGTTAGTAGCGGTTAGGACGAGGGCTGTTATGGTACGCTTGAATGCATTGAGACAAATAAAAGGAGTGAAGTTATACACGAAGTGTTGTTGATGATTTAAAAAGAACCCAGAACGTAACAACCAGTAAAGTCTAGTGAGGGAAGAACTTAGAGTACACCATGTGAACAGTAAAGTCTAGTGAGGGAAGAACTTAGGACCAGTAAAGTCTAGTGAGGGAAGAACTTAGGACCAGTAAAGTCTAGTGAGGGAAGAACTTAGGACCAGTAAAGTCTAGTGAGGGAAGAACTTAGGACCAGTAAAGTCTAGTGAGGGAAGAACTTAGGACCAGTAAAGTCTAGTGAGGGAAGAACTTAGGACCAGTAAAGTCTAGTGAGGGAAGAACTTAGGACCAGCAAAGTCTAGTGAGGGAAGAACTTAGGACCAGCAAAGTCTAGTGAGGGAAGAACTTAGGACCAGCAAAGTCTAGTGAGGGAAGAACTTAGGACCAGTAAAGTCTAGTGAGGGAAGAACTTAGAGTACACCATGGGACCAGTAAAGTCTAGTGAGGGAAGAACTTAGAGTACACCATGGGACCAGTAAAGTCTAGTGAGGGAAGAACTTAGGACCAGTAAAGTCTAGTGAGGGAAGAACTTAGAGTACACCATGGGACCAGTAAAGTCTAGAGAGGGAAGAACTTAGGACAAGTAAAGTCTAGTGAGGGAAGAACTTAGAGTAAACCATGGGACCAGTAAAGTCTAGTGAGGAGACACTTGTAGTTACACGGCCAGACTATAATGTAGTTACTCAAACATAAACTCACCTGGTGAATTAGCAATGGAGGCATCAAAACAGGAAAAGTTGATCAAAGCATATGACATAAGGAAAAAGTTTGAAATCAGTGGCGCAATTAAGTTCAGATCAGCTGAAAACATAAATTGAAGCACAGATTGAATTGAAATTTTTGAAGTGAGCATAGAAGCCACTTTAAGGTGGTCCTTAGATTAAACAAACAACTTATATTATTAACATATCTTGGTCAACATGCTAACAAACATACAGATAACTTATGAAAGCTTCCTAATTAGAACAGAGTTATTAACATAAGACATGAAGTTTGACAAGTTGAACAGAGCACAGTGCCACATGATTAGAAGAGCTGCTACTCACCTATCATATTGAAAGCAAAGCCAATAGCAAAACACAGAAGGAAAGCTCTCCTTGGGTTATCATTGGCACCATAGCCCACACCAAAATATTCCAGGAAAGGAAATATTTTATCTTTGCATAGTGCCTGGAACAGTTGGCGGTACAAGAATGAATTAATTTCATGTACCAGTCTAATCAACTCAAACCTATCAAACCTTCTCTCATGCACCAGTCAACTAAATCCTTTGTTAATGTTGAATATTGAAATAACAGTGCAGGTAGAATTGAGATTTCTGTGTAGAAGAAAGCGCTAAAGCCAGGAGCAGTAGAGTTTACCTGGAAGACTTTTGGTGCAGACATGAGGCTGGCCAGGGCAGAAGATAAAGTGGCGGAAAAGATGCCGGCTAGGATGAGAGGCCCCCAGGCTGATACCATCTCCACCACCTGGTCAAGGAAACAATACAACACCTGACATCCCCACCTGCTATGTTTACAACACCTGACATTCCCACCTGCTATGTTTACAACACCTGACATTCTCACCTGTTTACAACACCTGACATCCACACCTGCTATGTATACAACAGCTGACATTCCCACCTGCTATGTATACAACACCTGACATTCTCACCTGCTATGTTTACAACACCTGACATTCTCACCTGCTATGTATACAACACCTGACATTCCCACCTGCTATGTATACAACACCTGACATTCTCACCTGTTTACAACACCTGACATCCACACCTGCTATGTATACAACACCTGACATCCACACCTGCTATGTATACAACACCTGACATCCACACCTGCTATGTATACAACACCTGACATTCTCACCTGCTATGTATACAACACCTGACATTCTCACCTGCTATGTATACAACACCTGACATCCACACCTGCTATGTTTACAACACCTGACATTCCCACCTGCTATGTATACAACACCTGACATTCTCACCTGCTATGTATACAACACCTGACATTCTCACCTGCTATGTATACAACACCTGACATTCCCACCTGCTATGTATACAACACCTGACATCCCCACCTGCTATGTATACAACACCTGACATTCCCACCTGCTATGTATACAACACCTGACATTCCCACCTGCTATGTATACAACACCTGACATTCTCACCTGCTATGTATACAACACCTGACATTCTCACCTGCTATGTATACAACACCTGACATTCTCACCTGCTATGTTTACAACACCTGACATTCTCACCTGCTATGTATACAACACCTGACATTCTCACCTGCTATGTATACAACACCTGACATTCCCACCTGCTATGTATACAACACCTGACATTCTCACCTGCTATGTTTACAACACCTGACATTCCCACCTGCTATGTATACAACACCTGACATTCTCACCTGCTATGTATACAACACCTGACATCCCCACCTGCTATGTATACAACACCTGACATTCCCACCTGCTATGTATACAACACCTGACATTCTCACCTGCTATGTATACAACACCTGACATTCCCACCTGCTATGTATACAACACCTGACATTCCCACCTGCTATGTATACAACACCTGACATTCCCACCTGCTATGTATACAACACCTGACATTCTCACCTGCTATGTATACAACACCTGACATTCTCACCTGCTATGTATACAACACCTGACATTCTCACCTGCTATGTTTACAACACCTGACATTCTCACCTGCTATGTATACAACACCTGACATTCTCACCTGCTATGTATACAACAGCTGACATTCCCACCTGCTATGTATACAACACCTGACATTCTCACCTGCTATGTTTACAACACCTGACATTCTCACCTGCTATGTATACAACACCTGACATTCTCACCTGCTATGTATACAACACCTGACATTCCCACCTGCTATGTTTACAACACCTGACATTCCCACCTGCTATGTATACAACACCTGACATTCTCACCTGTTTACAACACCTGACATTCTCACCTGCTATGTTTACAACACCTGACATTCCCACCTGCTATGTTTACAACACCTGACATTCCCACCTGCTATGTATACAACACCTGACATCCCCACCTGCTATGTATACAACACCTGACATTCCCACCTGCTATGTATACAACACCTGACATTCTCACCTGTTTACAACACCTGACATTCCCACCTGCTATGTTTACAACACCTGACATTCCCACCTGCTATGTTTACAACACCTGACATTCCCACCTGCTATGTATACAACACCTGACATTCACACCTATGTATACAACACCTGACATTCCCACCTGCTATGTATACAACACCTGACTACCCACCTGCTATGTATACAACACCTGACTACCCACCTGCTATGTATACAACATCTGACATTCCCACCTGCTATGTATACAACACCTGACATTCCCACCTATGTATACAACACCTGAGTTTCTCACCTGATAGGAATGTAGGAGCCCATACTTGCATCCCTCAGGAACCAGCGAGCAGTTGCTGACAAAGTCTTTACTGTAGCTGTACTGACCCAGTGTAAACACAGCTGTGGAGGTGGGGGAACAGATGTCAGACTAGTTCTTAGTGAGACTATTTGTTAGTGAGACTATTTGTTAGTGAGACTATTTGCCAGACTGTAAGATATGGATAGTTAGGTGAGACTACCCTTGTTAGTGAGACTATTTGCCAGACTGTACGATGTGGACAGTTAGGTGAGACTTACCCTTGTTAGTGAGACTATTTGCCAGACTGTACGATGTGTTGATAACTGAGCCTCCAGCGCCAAGCGGGCCAGGCGTGGAAGAGTTCCCCAGCAGATCCGAAACATTTAAAGTAGCAGCTGATGCTAGAATGATTCCATTGGCCTGCCTCAGAACACTGGCGCCTGAGAACCAAGCTATCAGCAGATAGACGGCCGTGGTGATAAAGATGGCCAGGAATGTGCCCTTAGGGATGGACTTGGATGCATCCTGCTCATTCAAAGTCATGTGTTAGTTGAACATGGTCATTCAAAGTCATGTGTTAGTTGAACATGGTCATTCAAAGTCATGTGTTAGTTGAACATGGTCATTCAAAGTCATGTGTTAGTTGAACATGGTCATTCAAAGTCATGTGTTAGTTGAACATGGTCATTCAAAGTCATGTGTTAGCTTATGAAGGTCAAGTCAACCTAAATTCACACCCTTAACTCAGTAAATAAGTATGAAAGTGAAAATTCAATAAATCAATCAATGAAGCCAAGCTACCATTGACAATGTGATGTCAAACTTACCCTCAGGTCACCAGAAATATTGGCGCCCGCAAGAATTCCAGTCGCAGCGGGGAAGAACACGGAGAAAACACTAAAAAATGTTTCCTTCTCCTCATAGTCAGAGAATACATTGGTGGTAAAAACTTCTGGAGACAGAGAATACATTGGTGGTAAAAACTTTACAGAGAATACATTGGTGGTAAAAACTTCTGGAGACAGAGAATACATTGGTGGTAAAAACTTCTGGAGACAGAGAATACATTGGTGGTAAAAACTTCTGGAGACAGAGAATACATTGGTGGTAAAAACTTCTGGAGACAGAGAATACATTGGTGGTAAAAACTTCTGGAGACAGAGAATACATTGGTGGTAAAAACTTCTGGAGACAGAGAATACATTGGTGGTAAAAACTTCTGGAGACAGAGAATACAGTGGTGGTAAAAACTTCTGGAGACAGAGAATACATTGGTGGTAAAAACTTCTGGAGACAGAGAATACATTGGTGGTAAAAACTTCTGGAGACAGAGAATACATTGGTGGTAAAAACTTCTGGAGACAGAGAATACATTGGTGGTAAAAACTTCTGGAGACAGAGAATACATTGGTGGTAAAAACTTCTGGAGACAGAGAATACATTGGTGGTAAAAACTTCTGGAGACAGAGAATACATTGGTGGTAAAAACTTCTGGAGACAGAGAATACATTGGTGGTAAAAACTTCTGGAGACAGAGAATACATTGGTGGTAAAAACTTCTGGAGACAGAGAATACATTGGTGGTAAAAACTTCTGGAGACAGAGAATACATTGGTGGTAAAAACTTCTGGAGACAGAGAATACATTGGTGGTAAAAACTTCTGGAGACAGAGAATACATTGGTGGTAAAAACTTTACAGAGAATACATTGGTGGTAAAAACTTCTGGAGACAGAGAATACATTGGTGGTAAAAACTTCTGGAGACAGAGAATACATTGGTGGTAAAAACTTCTGGAGACAGAGAATACATTGGTGGTAAAAACTTCTGGAGACAGAGAATACATTGGTGGTAAAAACTTCTGGAGACAGAGAATACATTGGTGGTAAAAACTTCTGGAGACAGAGAATACATTGGTGGTAAAAACTTCTGGAGACAGAGAATACATTGGTGGTAAAAACTTCTGGAGACAGAGAATACATTGGTGGTAAAAACTTCTGGAGACAGAGAATACATTGGTGGTAAAAACTTCTGGAGACAGAGAATACATTGGTGGTAAAAACTTCTGGAGACAGAGAATACATTGGTGGTAAAAACTTCTGGAGACAGAGAATACATTGGTGGTAAAAACTTCTGGAGACAGAGAATACATTGGTGGTAAAAACTTCTGGAGACAGAGAATACATTGGTGGTAAAAACTTCTGGAGACAGAGAATACAGTGGTGGTAAAAACTTCTGGAGACAGAGAATACATTGGTGGTAAAAACTTCTGGAGAGAGAGAATACATTGGTTGTAAAAACTTCTGGAGACAGAGAATACATTGGTGGTAAAAATTTCTGGAGACAGAGAATACATTGGTGGTAAAAACTTCTGGAGACAGAGAATACATTGGTGGTAAAAACTTCTGGAGACAGAGAATACATTGGTGGTAAAAACTTCTGGAGACAGAGAATACATTGGTGGTAAAAACTTCTGGAGACAGAGAATACATTGGTGGTAAAAACTTCTGGAGACAGAGAATACAGTGGTGGTAAAAACTTCTGGAGACAGAGAATACATTGGTGGTAAAAACTTCTGGAGAGAGAGAATACATTGGTTGTAAAAACTTCTGGAGACAGAGAATACATTGGTGGTAAAAATTTCTGGAGACAGAGAATACATTGGTGGTAAAAACTTCTGGAGACAGAGAATACATTGGTGGTAAAAACTTCTGGAGACAGAGAATACATTGGTGGTAAAAACTTCTGGAGACAGAGAATACATTGGTGGTAAAAACTTCTGGAGACAGAGAATACATTGGTGGTAAGAACTTTTAATCCTATGAAATGAAACTGTTGATAAAATCTTTACCTCTGATCCCAATAAATCCCTTAGACATTTGCTCATCACTTGGTGGAATACAAAGTCCCACAAAAAAGTTGAGAATAGCCAGAGTTAGGATCACCAGCAGGATGACTTGGGCCTAGAACACACAAACAATGTCATGGCTGGGGTTGGTCTAACACCACAGGGATGGGGTTGGTCTAACATGAGACCACAGGGATGGGGTTGGTCTAACATGAGACCACAGGGATGGGGTTGGTCTAACATGAGACCACAGGGATGGGGTTGGTCTAACATGAGACCACAGGGATGGGGTTGGTCTGAGATCACAGGGATGGGGTTGGTCTAACATGAGACCACAGGGATGGGGTTGGTCTAACATGAGACCACAGGGATGGGGTTGGTCTAACATGAGACCACAGGGATGGGGTTGGTCTAACACCACAGGGATGGGGTTGGTCTAACACCACAGGGATGGGGTTGGTCTAACACCACAGGGATGGGGTTGGTCTAACACCACAGGGATGGGGTTGGTCTAACACCACAGGGATGGGGTTGGTCTAACACCACAGGGATGGGGTTGGTCTAACACCACAGGGATGGGGTTGGTCTAACACCACAGGGATGGGGTTGGTCTAACATGAGACCACAGGGATGGGGTTGGTCTGAGACCACAGGGATGGGGTTGGTCTAACATGAGACCACAGGGATGGGGTTGGTCTAACACCACAGGGATGGGGTTGGTCTAACATGAGACCACAGGGATGGGGTTGGTCTAACACCACAGGAATGGGGTTGGTCTAACATGAGACCACAGGGATGGGATTGGTCTAACACCACAGGGATGGGGTTGGTCTAACATGAGACCACAGGGATGGGGTTGGTCTGAGATCACAGGGATGGGGTTGGTCTGAGATCACAGGGATGGGGTTGGTCTAACATGAGACCACAGGGATGGGGTTGGTCTAACATGAGACCACAGGGATGGGGTTGGTCTGAGATCACAGGGATGGGGTTGGTCTGAGATCACAGGGATGGGGTTGGTCTAACATGAGACCACAGGGATGGGGTTGGTCTAACATGAGACCACAGGGATGGGGTTGGTCTGAGACCACAGGGATGGGGTTGGTCTAACATGAGACCACAGGGATGGGGTTGGTCTAACACCACAGGGATGGGGTTGGTCTAACATAAGACCACAGGGATGGAGTTGGTCTAACATGAGACCACAGGGATGGGGTTGGTCTAACATGAGACCACAGGGATGGGGTTGGTCTAACATGAGACCACAGGGATGGGGTTGGTCTAACATGAGACCACAGGGATGGGGTTGGTCTAACACCACAGGGATGGGGTTGGTCTAACACCACAGGGATGGGGTTGGTCTAACACCACAGGGATGGGGTTGGTCTAACACCACAGGGATGGGGTTGGTCTAACACCACAGGGATGGGGTTGGTCTAACATGAGACCACAGGGATGGGGTTGGTCTGAGACCACAGGGATGGGGTTGGTCTAACATGAGACCACAGGGATGGGGTTGGTCTAACACCACAGGGATGGGGTTGGTCTAACATGAGACCACAGGGATGGGGTTGGTCTAACACCACAGGAATGGGGTTGGTCTAACATGAGACCACAGGGATGGGATTGGTCTAACACCACAGGGATGGGGTTGGTCTAACATGAGACCACAGGGATGGGGTTGGTCTAACACCACAGGGATGGGGTTGGTCTAACACCACAGGGATGGGGTTGGTCTAACATGAGACCACAGGGATGGGGTTGGTCTAACATGAGACCACAGGGATGGGGTTGGTCTAACATAAGACCACAGGGATGGGGTTGGTCTAACATGAGACCACAGGGATGGGGTTGGTCTAACATGAATGGGGTTGGTCTAACATGAGACCACAGGGATGGGGTTGGTCTAACATGAGACCACAGGGATGGGGTTGGTCTAACATGAGACCACAGGGATGGGGTTGGTCTAACATGAGACCACAGGGATGGGGTTGGTCTAACATGAGACCACAGGAATGGGGTTGGTCTAACATGAATGGGGTTGGTCTAACATGAGACCACAGGGATGGGGTTGGTTGAGACCACAGGGATGGGGTTGGTCTAACATGAGACCACAGGGATGGGGTTGGTCTGAGACCACAGGGATGGGGTTGGTCTAACATGAGACCACAGGGATGGGGTTGGTCTGAGACCACAGGGATGGGGTTGGTCTAACATGAGACCACAGGGATGGGGTTGGTCTAACATGAGACCACAGGGATGGGGTTGGTCTAACACCACAGGGATGGGGTTGGTCTAACACCACAGGGATGGGGTTGGTCTAACATGAGACCACAGGGATGGGGTTGGTCTAACATGAGACCACAGGGATGGGGTTGGTCTAACATGAGACCACAGGGATGGGGTTGGTCTAACATGAGACCACAGGGATGGGGTTGGTCTAACACCACAGGGATGGGGTTGGTCTAACATGAGACCACAGGGATGGGGTTGGTCTAACATGAGACCACAGGGATGGGGTTGGTCTAACACCACAGGGATGGGGTTGGTCTAACATGAGACCACAGGGATGGGGTTGGTCTAACACCACAGGGATGGGGTTGGTCTAACACCACAGGGATGGGGTTGGTCTGAGACCACAGGGATGGGGTTGGTCTAACATGAGATCACAGGGATGGGGTTGGTCTGAGACCACAGGGATGGGGTTGGTCTAACATGAGACCACAGGGATGGGGTTGGTCTAACATGAGACCACAGGGATGGGGTTGGTCTAACACCACAGGGATGGGGTTGGTCTAACATGAGACCACAGGGATGGGGTTGGTCTAACACCACAGGGATGGAGTTGGTCTAACATGAGACCACAGGGATGGGGTTGGTCTAACATGAGACCACAGGGATGGGGTTGGTCTAACACCACAGGGATGGGGTTGGTCTAACATGAGACCACAGGGATGGGGTTGGTCTAACATGAGACCACAGGGATGGGGTTGGTCTAACACCACAGGGATGGGGTTGGTCTGAGACCACAGGGATGGGGTTGGTCTAACATGAGATCACAGGGATGGGGTTGGTCTGAGACCACAGGGATGGGGTTGGTCTGAGACCACAGGGATGGGGTTGGTCTAACATGAGACCACAGGGATGGGGTTGGTCTAACACCACAGGGATGGGGTTGGTCTAACATAAGACCACAGGGATGGAGTTGGTCTAACATGAGACCACAGGGATGGGGTTGGTCTAACATAAGACCTACCCTTATAGAATTAGTTTATTACCTTAGCTACAATTAACAGACCTCTAGCAGGTCAAGATGATCTAGGCAAACAGCTGGTCATGATGACCCAGTTCCTTAGTGTGAAATAATAATGGGGTGTAATTTATTTGAGAGATTTCAAAATAATTGAGGCTATTTTTTGTGCTGACAATGTGTTAATTAAGTCTAGTAAACAGCTGCCATATCTCAGGTGGCAAGACAATCAGGAACAAAAAATTGACAGCAAGCCAAGATTTGTTCCAGACACCAGCATACATAGTGCACCAAGTCAGCCCATAGTTTACTGTAGTGCACCAAGTCAGCCCATAGGTAACTGTAGTGCACCAAGTCAGCCCATAGTTTACTGTAGTGCACCAAGTCAGCCCATAGGTAACTGTAGTGCACCAAGTCAGCCCATAGGTAACTGTAGTGCACCAAGTCAGCCCATAGGTAACTGTAGTGCACCAAGTCAGCCCATATTTTACTGTAGTGCACCAAGTCAGCCCATAGGTAACTGTAGTGCACCAAGTCAGCCCATAGGTAACTGTAGTGCACCAAGTCAGCCCATAGGTAACTGTAGTGCACCAAGTCAGCCCATAGGTAGTCTAGGTGCACCAATTCAACCGGCAAGTAAAATGACCTACCCGTGCTTCCCAATTCATGCCAACTAGTGCTATGGCCAAGAGAATTGTGATTGTGATGCTGCCAATGATGCGAATGTCATTCATTTCATCTGTTATAACACAATCATATTTCTGTAAGAAAGAATGTCATTAATTTCATCTGTTATAACACAATCATATTTCTGTAAGAAAGAATGTCATTAATTTCATCTGTTATAATACAATCATATTTTTGTAAGAAACATTCATTTCATCTGTTACAACACAATCATATTTCTGTAAGAAAGAATGTCATTCATTTCATCTGTTATAACACAATCATATTTCTGTAAGAAAGAATTTCCTTGGTGAAAAAACCAATCCACCCATTGTCATTCACGAGAAAGCTAGTAAAAATGTATGCACAACTTATAAGCAACTCTTCTAAATGTTTTAAGAGACATACATCCCACCTAGAACTATATGTTTACCACTTTAGTGAGATGTTTTAAGCTGGAGTGTCGGGGAACTATTTACCTCCCCTGGAGTAGTGAGGGACATATTTATCCCCCCCCCCCTGAAGTAGTGAGGGACATATTTACCTCCCCCCCCTGGAGTAGTGAGGGACATATTTACCCCCCCCCCCCCTGGAGTATTGAGGGAACTATTTACCTCCCCTGGAGTATTGAGGGAACTATTTACCTCCCCTGAAGTATTGAGGGAACTATTTACCTCTCCTGAAGTATTGAGGGAACTATTTACCTCCCCTGAAGTATTGAGGGAACTACCTCTCCTGAAGTATTGAGGGAACTATTTACCTCCCCTGAAGTATTGAGGGAACTATTTACCTCCCCTGAAGTATTGAGGGAACTATTTACCTCCCCCCCCTGAAGTAGTGAGGGACATATTTACCTCCCCCCCTGAAGTAGTGAGGGACATATTTACCTCCCCCCCTGAAGTAGTGAGGGACATATTTATCCCCCCCCCCTGGAGTAGTGAGGGACATATTTATCCCCCCCCCCCCCTGAAGTAATGAGGGACATATTTACCTCCCCCCCGAAGTAGTGAGGGACATATTTACCCCCCCCCCCCTGAAGTAGTGAGGGACATATTTACCCCCCCCCCCCCCTGAAGTAGTGAGGGACATATTTACCCCCCCCGCCCTGAAGTAGTGAGGGACATATTTACCCCCCCCCCTGAAGTAGTGAGGGACATATTTACCTCCCCCCGAAGTAGTGAGGGACATATTTACCCCCCCCCCCTGAAGTAGTGAGGGACATATTTACCCCCCCCCCCTGGAGTAGTGAGGGACATATTTATCCCCCCCCCTGAAGTAGTGAGGGACATATTTACCCCCCCCCCTGAAGTAGTGAGGGACATATTTACCCCCCCGCCCTGAAGTAGTGAGGGACATATTTACCCCCCCCACCCCTGAAGTAGTGAGGGACATATTTACCTCCCCCCCCCCCTGAAGTAGTGAGGGACATATTTACTTCCCCCCCCCTGAAGTAGTGAGGGACATATTTACCCCCCCCCCCCTGAAGTGGTGAGGGACATATTTACCTCCCCCCCCCTGAAGTAGTGAGGGACATATTTACCCCCCCCCCCTGAAGTGGTGAGGGACATATTTACCTCCCCTGGAGTAGGGAGGGACATATTTACCTGCCCCCCCTGAAGTAGTGAGGGACATATTTACCCCCCCCCCTGAAGTAGTGAGGGACATATTTACCCCCCCCCCTGGAGTAGTGAGGGACATATTCCCCCCCCCCTGAAGTAGTGAGGGACATATTTACCTCCCCCCCCCCTGAAGTAGTGAGGGACATATTTACCCCCCCCCCCCCCTTAAGTAGTGAGGGACATATTTACCCCCCCCCCTGAAGTAGTGAGGGACATATTTACCTCCCCCCCCTGAAGTAGTGAGGGACATATTTACCCCCCCCCCTGGAGTAGTGAGGGACATATTTACCCCCCCCTGAAGTAGTGAGGGACATATTTACCTCCCCCCCTGAAGTAGTGAGGGACATATTTACCCCCCCCCCCCTGAAGTAGTGAGGGACATATTTACCCCCCCCCCCCCTGAAGTAGTGAGGGACATATTTACCCCCCCCCCTGAAGTAGTGAGGGACATATTTACCCCCCCCCCCCTGAAGTAGTGAGGGACATATTTACCTCCCCCCCTGAAGTAGTGAGGGTCATATTTACCTCCCCCCCTGAAGTAGTGAGGGACATATTTACCTCCCCCCCTGAAGTAGTGAGGGACATATTTATCCCCCCCCCTGGAGTAGTGAGGGACATATTTATCCCCCCCCCTGAAGTAGTGAGGGACATATTTACCTCCCCCCCGAAGTAGTGAGGGACATATTTACCCCCCCCTGAAGTAGTGAGGGACATATTTACCCCCCCCCCCCCTGAAGTAGTGAGGGACATATTTACCCCCCCGCCCTGAAGTAGTGAGGGACATATTTACCCCCCCCACCCCTGAAGTAGTGAGGGACATATTTACCCCCCCCACCCCTGAAGTAGTGAGGGACATATTTACCCCCCCCCCCTGAAGTAGTGAGGGACATATTTACCTCCCCCCCGAAGTAGTGAGGGACATATTTACCCCCCCCCCCTGAAGTAGTGAGGGACATATTTACCCCCCCCCCCCTGGAGTAGTGAGGGACATATTTATCCCCCCCCCTGAAGTAGTGAGGGACATATTTACCCCCCCCCCCCCTGAAGTAGTGAGGGACATATTTACCCCCCCCCCCTGAAGTAGTGAGGGACATATTTACCCCCCCCCCCCCCGCCCTGAAGTAGTGAGGGACATATTTACCCCCCCCCCCCCCTGAAGTAGTGAGGGACATATTTACCTCCCCCCCCCCCTGAAGTGGTGAGGGACATATTTACCTCCCCTGGAGTAGGGAGGGACATATTTACCTGCCCCCCCTGAAGTAGTGAGGGACATATTTACCCCCCCCCCCCTGAAGTAGTGAGGGACATATTTACCCCCCCCTGGAGTAGTGAGGGACATATTTCCCCCCCCCCCCTGAAGTAGTGAGGGACATATTTACCTCCCCCCCCCCTGAAGTAGTGAGGGACATATTTACCCCCCCCCCTGAAGTAGTGAGGGACATATTTACCCCCCCCCCTGAAGTAGTGAGGGACATATTTACCTCCCCCCCCTGAAGTAGTGAGGGACATATTTACCCCCCCCCCCCCCCCCTGGAGTAGTGAGGGACATATTTACCCCCCCTGAAGTAGTGAGGGACATATTTACCCCCCCCCCCCCCTGAAGTAGTGAGGGACATATTTACCCCCCCCTGAAGTAGTGAGGGACATATTTACCTCCCCCCCTGAAGTAGTGAGGGACATATTTACCCCCCCCCCCCTGAAGTAGTGAGGGACATATTTACCCCCCCCCTGAAGTAGTGAGGGACATATTTACCCCCCCCCCTGAAGTAGTGAGGGACATATTTACCCCCCCCCTGAAGTAGTGAGGGACATATTTACCCCCCCGCCCTGAAGTAGTGAGGGACATATTTACCACCCCCTGAAGTAGTGAGGGACATATTTACCCCCCCCCCCCCTGAAGTAGTGAGGGACATATTTACCCCCCCCTAAAGTAGTGAGGGACATATTTACCCCCCCCCCCCCTGAAGTAGTGAGGGACATATTTACCCCCCCCCCTGAAGTAGTGAGGGACATATTTACCCCCCCGCCCTGAAGTAGTGAGGGACATATTTACCCCCCCCCACCCCTGAAGTAGTGAGGGACATATTTACCTCCCCCCCCCCCTGAAGTAGTGAGGGACATATTTACTTCCCCCCCCCTGAAGTAGTGAGGGACATATTTACCACCCCCCCCTGAAGTGGTGAGGGACATATTTACCTCCCCCCCCCTGAAGTAGTGAGGGACATATTTACCCCCCCCCCCCTGAAGTGGTGAGGGACATATTTACCTCCCCTGGAGTAGGGAGGGACATATTTACCTGCCCCCCCTGAAGTAGTGAGGGACATATTTACCCCCCCCCCCCTGAAGTAGTGAGGGACATATTTACCCCCCCCCTGGAGTAGTGAGGGACATATTCCCCCCCCCCTGAAGTAGTGAGGGACATATTTACCTCCCCCCCCCCTGAAGTAGTGAGGGACATATTTACCCCCCCCCCCCCCCCTTAAGTAGTGAGGGACATATTTACCCCCCCCCCCCTGAAGTAGTGAGGGACATATTTACCTCCCCCCCCTGAAGTAGTGAGGGACATATTTACCCCCCCCCTGGAGTAGTGAGGGACATATTTACCCCCCCCTGAAGTAGTGAGGGACATATTTACCTCCCCCCCTGAAGTAGTGAGGGACATATTTACCCCCCCCCCTGAAGTAGTGAGGGACATATTTACCCCCCCCCCCCTGAAGTAGTGAGGGACATATTTACCCCCCCCCCCTGAAGTAGTGAGGGACATATTTACCCCCCCCCCCTGAAGTAGTGAGGGACATATTTACCTCCCCCCCCTGAAGTAGTGAGGGACATATTTACCTCCCCCCCTGAAGTAGTGAGGGACATATTTACCTCCCCCCCTGAAGTAGTGAGGGACATATTTATCCCCCCCCCCCTGGAGTAGTGAGGGACATATTTATCCCCCCCCCTGAAGTAGTGAGGGACATATTTACCTCCCCCCCGAAGTAGTGAGGGACATATTTACCCCCCCCCTGAAGTAGTGAGGGACATATTTACCCCCCCCCCCCTGAAGTAGTGAGGGACATATTTACCCCCCCCGCCCTGAAGTAGTGAGGGACATATTTACCCCCCCCCCTGAAGTAGTGAGGGACATATTTACCTCCCCCCCGAAGTAGTGAGGGACATATTTACCCCCCCCCCCCCTGAAGTAGTGAGGGACATATTTACCCCCCCCCCCCTGGAGTAGTGAGGGACATATTTATCCCCCCCCCTGAAGTAGTGAGGGACATATTTACCCCCCCCCCCCTGAAGTAGTGAGGGACATATTTACCCCCCCCCCTGAAGTAGTGAGGGACATATTTACCCCCCCCCCCCCCCGCCCTGAAGTAGTGAGGGACATATTTACCCCCCCCCCTGAAGTAGTGAGGGACATATTTACCTCCCCCCCCCCCTGAAGTGGTGAGGGACATATTTACCTCCCCTGGAGTAGGGAGGGACATATTTACCTGCCCCCCCTGAAGTAGTGAGGGACATATTTACCCCCCCCCCCTGAAGTAGTGAGGGACATATTTACCCCCCCCCTGGAGTAGTGAGGGACATATTTCCCCCCCCCCCCCCTGAAGTAGTGAGGGACATATTTACCTCCCCCCCCCTGAAGTAGTGAGGGACATATTTACCCCCCCCCCTGAAGTAGTGAGGGACATATTTACCCCCCCCCCCTGAAGGTAGTGAGGGACATATTTACCTCCCCCCCCCTGAAGTAGTGAGGGACATATTTACCCCCCCCCCCTGGAGTAGTGAGGGACATATTTACCCCCCCTGAAGTAGTGAGGGACATATTTACCCCCCCCCCCCCCCCTGAAGTAGTGAGGGACATATTTACCCCCCCCTGAAGTAGTGAGGGACATATTTACCTCCCCCCTGAAGTAGTGAGGGACATATTTACCCCCCCCCCCTGAAGTAGTGAGGGACATATTTACCCCCCCCCCTGAAGTAGTGAGGGACATATTTACCCCCCCCCTGAAGTAGTGAGGGACATATTTACCCCCCCCTGAAGTAGTGAGGGACATATTTACCCCCCCCCCCCCCCCCCGAAGTAGTGAGGGACATATTTACCCCCCCCCCCCCTGAAGTAGTGAGGGACATATTTACCCCCCCCCCCCTGAAGTAGTGAGGGACATATTTACCCCCCCCCCCCTGAAGTAGTGAGGGACATATTTACCCCCCCCCCCCTGAAGTAGTGAGGGACATATTTACCTCCCCCCCCCCTGGAGTAGTGAGGGACATATTTACCCCCCCCCCCTGAAGTAGTGAGGGACATATTTACCCCCCCCCCTGAAGTAGTGAGGGACATATTTACCCCCCCCCCCCTGGAGTAGTGAGGGACATATTTACCTCCCCCCCCCTGAAGTAGTGAGGGACATATTTACCTCCCCCCCCCTGGAGTAGTGAGGGACATATTTACCCCCCCCCCCCCCTGAAGTAGTGAGGGACATATTTACCTCCCCCCTGAAGTAGTGAGGGACATATTTACCTCCCCCCCCCTGAAGTAGTGAGGGACATATTTACCCCCCCCCCTGAAGTAGTGAGGGACATATTTACCCCCCCCCCCCTGAAGTAGTGAGGGACATATTTACCCCCCCTGAAGTAGTGAGGGACATATTTTACCCCCCCCCCCTGAAGTAGTGAGGGACATATTTACCCCCCCCCCCCCCTGAAGTAGTGAGGGACATATTTACCCCCCCCTGAAGTAGTGAGGGACATATTTACCCCCCCCCCCCCCCCCCTGAAGTAGTGAGGGACATATTTACCCCCCCCTGAAGTAGTGAGGGACATATTTACCCCCCCGCCCTGAAGTAGTGAGGGACATATTTACCCCCCCCCCCTGGATTAGTGAGGGACATATTTACCCCCCCCCCCCCCCCCTGAAGTAGTGAGGGACATATTTACCCCCCCCCTGAAGTAGTGAGGGACATATTTACCCCCCCCCCCCCCCCCTGAAGTAGTGAGGGACATATTTACCCCCCTCCCCTGAAGTAGTGAGGGACATATTTACCTCCCCCCCCCTGGAGTAGTGAGGGACATATTTACCCCCCCCCTGAAGTAGTGAGGGACATATTTACCCCCCCCCCTGAAAGTAGTGAGGGACATATTTACCCCCCCCTGGAGTAGTGAGGGACATATTTACCTCCCCCCCCTGAAGTAGTGAGGGACATATTTACCTCCCCCCCCTGGAGTAGTGAGGGACATATTTACCCCCCCCCCTGAAGTAGTGAGGGACATATTTACCTCCCCCTTGAAGTAGTGAGGGACATATTTACCTCCCCCCCCCTGAAGTAGTGAGGGACATATTTACCCCCCCCCCCCCCTGAAGTAGTGAGGGACATATTTACCCCCCCCCCCCCTGAAGTAGTGAGGGACATATTTACCCCCCCCCCCCCCTGAAGTAGTGAGGGACATATTTACCCCCCCCCCCCCTGAAGTAGTGAGGGACATATTTACCCCCCCCCCTGAAGTAGTGAGGGACATATTTACCCCCCCCCCCCTGAAGTAGTGAGGGACATATTTACCTCCCCCCTGAAGTAGTGAGGGACATATTTACCCCCCCCCCCCCCCCTGAAGTAGTGAGGGACATATTTACCCCCCCCCCCCCTGAAGTAGTGAGGGACATATTTACCCCCCCCTGAAGTAGTGAGGGACATATTTACCCCCCCCCTGAAGTAGTGAGGGACATATTTACCCCCCCCTGAAGTAGTGAGGGACATATTTACCCCCCCCCCCCTGAAGTAGTGAGGGACATATTTACCACCAGTATGTCACGGACTGTCTCAGCAAAGCCGACCACATACATGGCCACAGCCACAGCATTGGCCACAGAAAAAATGATGCCAATGGCTCCACCAAACTCTGGCCCTAGGCTTCTGGATATCATGTAGTAGGCTCCACCTGTAGGAAAACAAAGGTTTTTGAACAAGTTTCTTTCAACTATTTCAAGTGTGTCAGAAACTTAAGACATATTTATGTGCATACATAAATCAACTATTACGTTTTACGTTTCTTATACTATACAGCTTGATTTTTAAAATACATAACAGACATCAAGCTATGGCCCATATATGAGTAGATGTAGTGGTCATACGTATTTGTATGAGTTTAAGAATGTGTCATTTTAAAGTTTTAAATTTGTACCAGTGAAAATGTATGAATGCCATACAAGTGAAAATGTATGAATGCCATAATACAAGTGAAAATGTATGAATGCCATACAAGTGAAAATGTATGAATGCCATACAAGTGAAAATGTATGAATGCCATAAAACAAGTGAAAATGTATAAATGCCATACAAGTGAAAATGTATGAATGCCATACAAGTGAAAATGTATGAATGCCATACAAGTGAAAATGTATGAATGCCATACAAGTGAAAATGTATGAATGCTATGCAGGTGAAAATTTGAAGATACCAAGCTTATTTACCTGTGCAATTTCTCCCCCCCCCCCCCACAACGTCCTAATTTCTCAGTATTATCATGCCCCCTACCAGATTTTTAATTGATTTTATCTTTTTATTTTGTTTAAAATTTTCTTCTTCATTTCTGTCCTCTCACTTCTCTATCGGAAAAATCTTGATGTGTTTGTCAGTTGACCTGAGGTGTTTGTCAGTTGACCTGAGGTGTTTGTTTGTCAGTTGACCTGAGGTGTTTGTCAGTTGACCTGAGGTGTTTGTCAGCTGACCTGAGGTGTTTGTCAGTTGACCTGAGGTGTTTGTCAGCTGACCTGAGGTGTTTGTCAGTTGACCTGAGGTGTTTGTCAGTTGACCTGAGGTGTTTGTCACTTGTCTATCTGGAGTGGCTCCATCAAGGCTAGACAAGACATCCTGTACAAACATTGGTTTGTGCTGTCATAGTCCCAGCTAGCTTACAGTCTCAACAAACATGCTGGAGTCCCTAGACACAGGCTCACTCAACAAGGTGCACCATACTGGCAACAAGGTGCACCATACTGGCAACAAGGTGCACCATACTGGCAACAAGGTGCACCATACAGGCAACAAGGTGCACCATACTGGCAACATGGTGCACCATACTGGCAACAAGGTGCACCATACTGGCAACAAGGTGCACCATACAGGCAACAAGGTGCACCATACTGGCAACATGGTGCACCATACTGGCAACAAGGTGCACCATACAGGCAACAAGGTGCACCATACAGGCAACAAGGTGCACCATACAGGCAACAAGGTGCACCATACTGGCAACAAGGTGCACCATACTGGCAACAAGGTGCACCATACTGGCACAATAACTGTTACTACTATACAGAGTATTTAAAATACACACAACATATATATACATTACGTACATACACATTATATACAATATATCTAGGGCCTGTAAATTCTAAACTTGTTTTATGACCTGCTAGAGCAGGCTGGGACACATTGTCTGACACCTTATAACAAACAGGGGATTCATTTGAAACAAATGTCAGGTGCAAATTTATGCTGACTTATAGCTGTCAGTTGTCACAGACATTTAAGTCATGCACATTTGGAGGAATTTTTTTCTTTTCTTCTTTGTTGAAAGCATTGTTTGTATTTAAACTTGTAAAAAAGTGTCTAGTCAACATGGGTCAACTTTATTTAGTCAACCTTATGTCAAGTCAATCTTTCATTAAATTATACATTATTTTGTGTAATATAACTATGAATTCCTAGACAAAAAAGGGCTTTAGTGCTGGATTAGTCATGTAATGGGAGCTGTAGATCACAGCTGGGGTTAGTCATGTAATGGGAGCTGTAGATGAGGGCTGGGGTTAGTCATGTAATGGGAGCTGTAGATCACAGCTGGGGTTCGTCATGTAATGGGAGCTGTAGATGAGGGCTGGGGTTAGTCATGTAATGGGAGCTGTAGATGAGGGCTGGGGTTAGTCATGTAATGGAAGCTGTAGATCACAGCTGCGGTTAGTCATGGGAGCTGTAGATCACAGCTGGGGTTAGTCATGTAATGGGAGCTGTAGATCACAGCTGGGGTTAGTCATGTAATGGGAGCTGTAGATCACAGCTGGGGTTAGTCATGTAATGGGAGCTGTAGATCACAGCTGGGGTTAGTCATGTAATGGGAGCTGCAGATCACAGCTGCGGTTAGTCATGAGAGCTGTAGATCACAGCTGGGGTTAGTCATGTAATGGGAGCTGTAGATCACAGCTGCGGTTAGTCATGTAATGGGAGCTGTAGATGAGGGCTGGGGTTAGTCATGTAATGGGAGCTGTAGATCACAGCTGGGGTTAGTCATGTAATGGGAGCTGTAGATCACAGCTGGGGTTAGTCATGTAATGGGAGCTGTAGATCACAGCTGGGGTTAGTCATGTAATGGGAGCTGTAGATCACAGCTGCGGTTAGTCATGGGAGCTGTAGATCACAGCTGGGGTTAGTCATGTAATGGGAGCTGTAGATCACAGCTGGGGTTAGTCATGTAATGGGAGCTGTAGATCACAGCTGGGGTTAGTCATGTAATGGGAGCTGCAGATCACAGCTGGGGTTAGTCATGGGAGCTGTAGATCACAGCTGGGGTTAGTCAAGTAATGGGAGCTGTAGATCACAGCTGGGGTTAGTCATGTAATGGGAGCTGTAGATCACAGCTGGGGTTAGTCATGTAATGGGAGCTGTAGATCACAGCTGGGGTTAGTCATGAGAGCTGTAGATCACAGCTGGGGTTAGTCATGTAATGGGAGTTGTAGATCACAGCTGGGGTTAGTCATGTAATGGGAGCTGTAGATCACAGCTGGGGTTAGTCATGTAATGGGAGCTGTAGATCACAGCTGGGGTTAGTCATGTAATGGGAGCTGTAGATCACAGCTGGGGTTAGTCATGAGAGCTGTAGATCACATAAGTCATGTAATGGGAGCTGTAGATGAGGGTGAGTTAGCAAGAGCAGAGTGAAAGATCAATACAAGACACCAGTAAACTACTACTGGCTACATAATCTAAAAGTAAATGAAGGCGTTGATGGGAGCAAACATCTTAAGCAGCCAGTGCAAGTCCTTCATACAACACTTACACTAGTATGGCATTCATACAATATTTTCTCTAGTATAGCATTCATACAATATTTTCTCTAGTATAGCATTCATACAACATTTTCACTTGTATGACATTCATACATTTTCACTAGTATGGCATTCACACAACATTTTCACTAGTATGGCATTCACACAACATTTTCACTAGTATGGCATTCACACAACATTTTCACTAATATGGCATTTATACAACACTTTCACATGTATGACGTTCATACAACATTTCACTTGTATAGCGTTCATACAACATTTCACTTGTATAGCGTTCATACAACACTATGACTTGCATATAGGAGAAGTGAAGAGGTGGCAAGCAGTAATGGCAGTCAGGGATGACATATTGACTCCAGCACCTTTAACCCCCGTCAATAAAACAATCTATTTTTAGCCACGTCAGGACACACCAGGCCAGCAGCAGACACATTTCCTATCAATGGTAATTAGCTGGGAACCCATCAACAGTCAGAGCAAATAAAGCTTCTGCTCACTGAATACTCCACACACACACATATATACGCACATATATATCTATTTGACTATATATGTATATGCATACACAAATATACATAAATGTATATACACATGTATATACATATACGCACATATATACACACCTATATAATTATATATATATATATATATATATATATATATATATATATATATATATATATATATATATAATATAAGCGGGCTGAGCGTGTGTCAGTCCTTCCTTCCTTCTGTCATCGCTATAGCTTTTGGAACCATAAAAGTAAACATCGCACCATTTTTTTTATTTTACGAAAACAAATTTCAGCTAAGATGCTGTATCGGGACAGTTTTTTTTTATATTGATTTTTTTGTATGACGCTTTAAAATCTAACATCGCACCATGCAGTACTTTCAGTGCATCGTAGTGGTATTATAAATATACACCTCTGTTTTATAGTCATTCACTGAGTCAGACGCGTCCGCCGGCGCTCGGAAAGATTTACCGTGGCGGAGCATGGGTATGCGGCTAGTATATATATATATATATATATATATATATATATATATATATATATATATATATATATATATATATATATATATATATATATATATATATATATAATATAAGCGGACTGGTATTGTGTCAGTCCGTCATCGCTATTGATTTTGGAACCATAAAAGTAAACACATCACATGTCGTGCTTTTTACTTGCATCGCAGTGTCTTATTATAAATATTAGAGTAGGGTTTTTTAATATAACGACTTAAATTTATTTTATAGTTGGCAAATATTAAATAGACGCAAATTGCTAAAACATATTAAACGGATCAATGTCAAATATAATTTTAGCTTTGACTCCTAGAAAAAGTGGATACATTTTAATAACAGTCGAGTCGAATTAATTAATTAATTTGTTTTGTAATTTTGCCAAGGAAGGTAATTTAAAAATAAATTCAACTCACGCTAATGCAAAAATGTGAATGCAAAATCTCCAAGAGGGAATTATTGTTGGAATAATATAATTAGCAAAATGTGAATGCAAATCTGCAGAGGACATTATTGTAAGAGGACATTATTGTTGGAATATTATAATTAGCATGGATTGATAAAAGGCTATCTGTTATTTATTTTATTCACTAAACGTCCTGTTTACTAATTATAATTTTTAATCAACTATTCCGCACTGTTATAGACTCGTCATCACGTTCATTAGGTACGCAATGGTTTTAGTAATGAAACTCCATTGTAAGTTTTTAAAATTTAAAGTACTGAAAAAAATATGCATGAATTGATAAAGTTCAATATGGTAGGTAAAACACAGATATTTTAAATACTGCCTTTTATTTATTTTATACACTGAACGTACTGTTTACTAATTATTAATCTAACTTTCCGTTTGCGGACAAGCTGGGGTTTTTATAGTCATTCACTGAATCAGGCGCGTCCGCCGGCGCTTGGACAGGGTACGATTTGGCGCCACGGACTAAACTGTGAGCACTATGCGTTTATGTTTGCATTTAAGTTGAATTTATGTTATGAGTGTTGTGTTTTTGTTTTTTTTTTTGCGTTTGTGTTGGTGTTTTCATTTGTGTTTTTATTTGCGATTGTTTTTCTTTTGTGTTTGTGTGTTGCATTTGTGTTTTCGTTTGTGTTTGCATTGTGTTTGTGTTTTTCTTTTGTGGTAGTGTTGTGTTTTCTTTTGTGTTTGTGTTGTGTTTAGTTTAGTTCTGTTCTGTTCAAAGTTGGTACATTTAAAAAAGATTTACCGTGGCAGAGCACGGGTATGCAGCTAGTATATATATAATGCTGGTGGTAGTGTGTCAGTCCGTCATCGCTATAGATTCTAAAATTAAAAAAAATAAATATCAGCACATGCCGCGATTTTACTTGCAACGCATTGTCTTATTATAATTTCTTAAGTATTTAGATCAAGTCTATATAACGAATTAAACTTTTATTCTTTTGCATAAGTCAACAAATAAACGTCATCACGTTCAATAGGTGCGCAATAGTTTTTAGTCATGTAACTCATTGTAAATAAAAACATGTAAACTTATAGTTGTTTAAATAGTAGTGTATAATTTATTTTCTCCTTTTTAGTGCATTATTACACAAAAGCTTGTTATTAACTCACTTCCTCGTCAGTCAGTCTGTCTAGATCGAAACGCCCGAGTGAAATTGCAGGCACTTCTAACTGACAGATACGGTTCGTAGTTGGAACGTGGGTCAAGACATGAAGAGAATGCATCATGACATTAAATTTGACTTAATTGGATGCTTAATTAATTTTTTTATGAATTAATTAAAATTTTGACCAAATTAGTAGGCAGTTCTATCCAACTCCTCCACACGCGTCATCACGTTCAATAGCTGCGCTATTACGTTCAATAGGCGCGCAAAGGTTTTTAGTCACGTGACTTTATTGTAAATAAAAACATGTAAAGTACTACAAATTTTTTTTTCATAAAAAACGTTTTAATAACAAGCTTTTATGTACTAATACACTAAAAAGTAGAAAATAAACTATAGACTACTATTTAAATAACTATAAAGAAAAGCCTGTCTCTTACGAAATATTAGTAATGGTATCCAATAGATACTTAAGTGACCCACGCTTTTCTTTATAGTTATTTATATAGTAGTGTATAATTTATTTTCTCTTTTTTAGTGCATTATTACATAAAAGCTTGTTATTAAAACTTTTTTTTAATGAAAATTTTTTTAATGCAATTTTTTAAAATTTATTTTTTACACTTAACGTACTGTTTACTATATATTATTTTTAATCAATAACAGGTTAGAAGCCGCTCCTAAAAGTCCTCTATGTTTACTTCTATGTTTGGGTTTGCACACAAAAAAAAAAGGGGGGGGGTATTATAGTCATTTACTAAATATTTTTTTCGTGTGCATGTAAAGCAGGGGTCTCCAAACTGTTCAGCCCCAGAGCTGCATTGACTATCAAATATCAGTTCGGGGGCCAGTTTCTTCCAGGCATCTCCAAGCCCCCCCCCCCCCCCCCCCGAAAAAATTCTGGGAGAAACATGGTCGAAGGGCGTACAACACACTCGAGGTCCCAGTTTGCTCTCAAATTGTTCTTCGCGCATTTCAATCTTGGAAATGTTTGTTCACACTGGTATGTTGTTCCAAAATTGCTACCTACCACCCTTCACTTCCCCAGATGGAGGATGTAGAAATGACTACCTACCACCCTTCACTTCCCCAGATGGAGGATGTAGAAATGACTACCTACCACCCTTCACTTCCCCAGATGGAGGATGTAGAAATGACTACCTACCACCCTTCACTTCCCCAGATGGAGGATGTAGAAATGACTACCTACCACCCTTCACTTCCCCAGATGGAGGATGTAGAATTGACTACCTACCACCCTTCACTTCCCCAGATGGAGGATGTAGAAATGACTACCTACCACCCTTCACTTCCCCAGATGGAGGATGTAGAAATGACTACGTACCACCCTTCACTTCCCCGTTGGTGCAGATGGAGGATGTAGAAATGACTACCTACCACCCTTCACTTCCCCAGATGGAGAATGTAGAAATGACTACCTACCACCCTTCACTTCCCCGTTGGTGCAGATGGAGGATGTAGAAATGACTACGTACCACCCTTCACTTCCCCGTTGGTGCAGATGGAGGATGTAGAAATGACTACCTACCACCCTTCACTTCCCCAGATGGAGGATGTAGAAATGACTACCTACCACCCTTCACTTCCCCGTTGGTGCAGATGGCCGTCATAGAAATAGCTGTGAGAGTGGTGACAATTCCAGACAACAGCACGATGAGTGTGGCCTGCAGAATCCCAGCATTGCCCACAACCCAGGGCAGACGTATAAAGAGCATCACACCAAAGATATTGAGGATACATCGGATCTGTGGATAGTGTACATGGATGTTACATAGGATTTATGGATGTTGTGTGTACCTGACTGACTGGATGTTGTGTGTACCTGACTGGATGTTGTGTGTACCTGACTGACTGGATGTTGTGTGTACCTGACTGACTGGATGTTGTGTGTACCTGACTGACTGGATGTTGTGTGTACCTGACTGACTGGATGTTGTGTGTACCTGACTGACTGGATGTTGTATGTACCTGACTGACTGGATGTTGTGTGTACCTGACTGACTGGATGTTGTGTGTACCTGACTGGATGTTATGTGTACCTGACTGACTGGATGTTGTGTGTACCTGACTGACTGGATGTTGTGTGTACCTGACTGACTGGATGTTATGTGTACCTGACTGACTGGATGTTGTGTGTACCTGACTGACTGGATGTTGTGTGTACCTGACTGACTGGATGTTGTGTGTACCTGACTGACTGGATGTTGTGTGTACCTGACTGGATGTTATGTGTACCTGACTGACTGGATGTTGTGTGTACCTGACTGGATGTTGTGTGTACCTGACTGACTGGATGTTGTGTGTACCTGACTGGATGTTGTGTGTACCAGACTGGATGTTGTGTGTACCTGACTGGATGTTGTGTGTACCAGACTGACTGGATGTTATGTGTACCTGACTGGATGTTGTGTGTACCTGACTGGATGTTGTGTGTACCTGACTGACTGGATGTTATGTGTACCTGACTGGATGTTGTGTGTACCTGACTGACTGGATGTTGTGTGTACCTGACTGACTGGATGTTGTGTGTACCTGACTGACTGGATGTTGTGTGTACCTGACTGACTGGATGTTGTGTGTACCTGACTGACTGGATGTTGTGTGTACCTGACTGACTGGATGTTGTGTGTACCTGACTGACTGGATGTTGTGTGTACCTGACTGACTGGATGTTGTGTGTACCTGACTGACTGGATGTTGCGTGTACCTGACTGACTGGATGTTGCGTGTACCTGACTGACTGGATGTTGCGTGTACCTGACTGACTGGATGTTGTGTGTACCTGACTGACTGGATGTTGTGTGTACCTGACTGACTGGATGTTGTGTGTACCTGACTGACTGGATGTTGTGTGTACCTGACTGACTGGATGTTGTGTGTACCTGACTGACTGGATGTTGTGTGTACCTGACTGGATGTTGTGTGTACCTGACTGGATGTTGTGTGTACCTGACTGGATGTTGTGTGTACCTGACTGACTGGATGTTGTGTGTACCTGACTGACTGGATGTTGTGTGTACCTGACTGACTGGATGTTGTGTGTACCTGACTGGATGTTGTGTGTACCTGACTGACTGGATGTTGTGTGTACCTGACTGACTGGATGTTGTGTGTACCTGACTGGATGTTGTGTGTACCTGACTGACTGGATGTTGTGTGTACCTGACTGGATGTTGTGTGTACCTGACTGACTGGATGCTGTGTGTACCTGACTGACTGGATGTTGTGTGTACCTGACTGACTGGATGTTGTGTGTACCTGACTGACTGGATGTTGTGTGTACCTGACTGACTGGATGTTGTGTGTACCTGACTGACTGGATGTTGTGTGTACCTGACTGGATGTTGTGTGTACCTGACTGGATGTTGTGTGTACCTGACTGACTGGATGTTGTGTGTACCTGACTGGATGTTGTGTGTACCTGACTGACTGGATGTTGTGTGTACCTGACTGGATGTTGTGTGTACCTGACTGACTGGATGTTGTGTGTACCTGACTGGATGTTGTGTGTACCTGACTGACTGGATTGTTGTGTGTACCTGACTGGATGTTGTGTGTACCTGACTGACTGGATGTTGTGTGTACCTGACTGACTGGATGTTGTGTGTACCTGACTGACTGGATTGTTGTGTGTACCTGACTGGATGTTGTGTGTACCTGACTGACTGGATGTTGTGTGTACCTGACTGGATGTTGTGTGTACCTGACTGGATGTTGTGTGTACCTGACTGGATGTTGTGTGTACCTGACTGGATGTTGTGTGTACCTGACTGACTGGATTGTTGTGTGTACCTGACTGGATGTTGTGTGTACCTGACTGACTGGATGTTGTGTGTACCTGACTTGATGTTGTGTGTACCTGACTGGATGTTGTGTGTACCTGACTGACTGGATGTTGTGTGTACCTGACTGGATGTTGTGTGTACCTGACTGGATGTTGTGTGTACCTGACTGGATGTTGTGTGTACCTGACTGACTGGATTGTTGTGTGTACCTGACTGGATGTTGTGTGTACCTGACTGACTGGATGTTGTGTGTACCTGACTTGATGTTGTGTGTACCTGACTGGATGTTGTGTGTACCTGACTGACTGGATGTTGTGTGTACCTGACTTGATGTTGTGTGTACCTGACTGACTGGATGTTGTGTGTACCTGACTTGATGTTGTGTGTACCTGACTGGATGTTGTGTGTACCTGACTGGATGTTGTGTGTACCTGACTGACTGGATGTTGTGTGTACCCGACTGACTGGATGTTGTGTGTACCTGACTGGATGTTGTGTGTACCTGACTGACTGGATGTTGTGTGTACCTGACTGACTGGATGTTGTGTGTACCTGACTGACTGGATGTTGTGTGTACCTGACTGACTGGATGTTGTGTGTACCTGACTGGATGTTGCGTGTACCTGACTGGATGTTGTGTGTACCTGACTGGATGTTGTGTGTACCTGACTGGATGTTGTGTGTACCTGACTGGATGTTGTGTGTACCTGACTTGATGTTGTGTGTACCTGACTGGATGTTGTGTGTACCTGACTGACTGGATGTTGTGTGTACCTGACTGACTGGATGTTGTGTGTACCTGACTGACTGGATGTTGTGTGTACCTGACTGACTGGATGTTGTGTGTACCTGACTGGATGTTGCGTGTACCTGACTGGATGTTGTGTGTACCTGACTGGATGTTGTGTGTACCTGACTGGATGTTGTGTGTACCTGACTGGATGTTGTGTGTACCTGACTTGATGTTGTGTGTACCTGACTGGATGTTGTGTGTACCTGACTGACTGGATGTTGTGTGTACCTGACTGACTGGATGTTGTGTGTACCTGACTGACTGGATGTTGTGTGTACCTGACTGACTGGATGTTGTGTGTACCTGACTGACTGGATGTTATGTGTACCTGACTGACTGGATGTTGTGTGTACCTGACTGACTGGATGTTGTGTGTACCTGACTGACTGGATGTTATGTGTACCTGACTGGATGTTATGTGTACCTGACTGACTGGATGTTGTGTGTACCTGACTGACTGGATGTTGTGTGTACCTAACTGGAGGTGACCCGATAGTAAAGTGGTGACTCTACTGTTAAGAGGTGACCCTAAAGAAGGAGCTTATAAAAAACAACCATCACTACACTTAGTGATAGAGTCAAACAGTACATTAGTGAGCTGAGGCGGGGAGGGTGAGGGGATCCAGTGCGAGGATCCATACAGCAGAGAGCAGAGCTAACAATCCCAAGCTACGGCAGGAGACAAAATCTATACACGTGCTCCATGACGTCAGCGCCAATGACGCTCACCATGTACAGGTCGCCTTGACTGTCGTGCTAAAGGTCGGTCTATGCATGCCTCAAGGTCAGATGAAGAATTACATAATGGCCATCCATGGGAGCCACATATTGGCCATCTATGACAGCACCAGATTGGCCATCCATGGGAGCCACATATTGGCCACCTATGACAGCACCAGATTGGCCATCTATGAGAGCACCAGATTGGCCATCTATGAGAGCACCAGATTGGCCATCTATGAGAGCACCAGATTGGCCATCCATGGGAGCCACATATTGGCCACCTATGACAGCACCAGATCGGCCACCTATGACAGCACCAGATTGGCCATCTATGACAGCACCAGATAGGCCATCTATGAGAGCACCAGAATGGCCACCTATGACAGCACCAGATTGGCCATCTATGAGAGCACCAGATTGGCCATCTATGAGAGCACCAGATTGGCCATCTATGAGAGCACTAGATTGGCCATCTATGAGAGCACCAGATTGGCCATCTATGACAGCACCAGATTGGCCATCTATGAGAGCACCAGATTGGCCATCTATGAGAGCACCAGATTGGCCACCTATGACAGCTATAGATTGGCCATCTATGAGAGCACCAGATTGGCCATCTATGAGAGCACCAGATTGGCCATCTATGACAGCACCAGATTGGCCATCTATGAGAGCACCAGATTGGCCACCTTTGAGAGCACCAGATTGGCCATCCATATGAGCACCAGAATGGCCATCTATGAGAGCACCAGATTAGCCATCTATGACAGCACCAGATTGGCCATCTATGACAGCACCAGATTGGCAATCTATGACAGCACCAGATTGGCCATCTATGACAGCACCAGATTGGCCATCTATGACAGCACCAGATTGGCCATCTATGAGAGCACCAGATTGGCCATCTATGAGAGCACCAGATTGGCCATCTATGAGAGCACCAGATTGGCCACCTATGAGAGCACCAGATTGGCCATCTATGAGAGCACCAGATTGGCCATCTATGAGAGCACCAGATTGGCCATCTATGAGAGCACCAGATTGGCCATCTATGACAGCACCAGATTGGCCATCTATGAGAGCACCAGATTGGCCACCTTTGAGAGCACCAGATTGGCCATCTATGAGAGCACCAGATTGGCCATCTATGACAGCACCAGATTGGCCATCTATGAGAGCACCAGATTGGCCATTCATAAAACAGCTTTAAAATCTACAGGCACTGAGCTGAAGTCCCAGTCAACGAATGTTAGTCAAGAGAGACAACCAAGGTTATACTATGTGCCAGACTTACCAGAACGCCTTGGATCCAGCCGAACCGGAGGGGCGTGGGGGCCACCACCCTCTCCCCCATGGCCAGGATATTCTGTGTGGAACCTTCGTAGCCAGGGACGCCATCTTTCCTGCTACAGCGGAGGTCTTCATCGTCCTGCAACAGCAAACCATAGGTCTAGTACACATTGTACACATGGGGCATTGTACACACGGGACATTGTACACACGGGGCATTGTACACATGGGGCATTGTACACACGGGACATTGTACACACGGGGCATTGTACACATGGGGCATTGTACACACGGGACATTGTACACACGGGGCATTGTACACACGGGGCATTGTACACACGGGGCATTGTACACACGGGGCATTGTACACACGGGACATTGTACACACGGGGCATTGTACACACGGGGCATTGTACACACGGGACATTGTACACACGGGGCATTGTACACACAGGACATTGTACACACGGGGCATTGTACACACGGGACATTGTACACACGGGGCATTGTACACACGGGGCATTGTACACACGGGGCATTGTACACACGGGGCATTGTACACACGGGGCATTGTACACACGGGGCATTGTACACACAGGACATTGTACATACGGGGCATTGTACACACGGGACATTGTACACACGGGACATTGTACACACGGGGCATTGTACACACGGGGCATTGTACACACGGGGCATTGTACACACGGGACATTGTACACACGGGGCATTGTACACACAGGACATTGTACACACACAATCATTCGATACACATGGAATCATTACACACAATCATTCGATACGAGATTAATACAGAAAAGGATGCAATAGGTAAGTCGAGATGGGGGCAGTACCGTGAGAGAATGTGCTGACACAAACTACTGATGGCGGCAGTGAGAGAATGTGCTGACACAAACTACTGATGGCGGCAGTGCCGTGAGAGAATGTGCTGACACAAACTACTGATGGCGGCAGTGCCGTGAGAGAATGTGCTGACACAAACTACTGATGGCGGCAGTGCCGTGAGAGAATGTGCTGACACAAACTACTGATGGCGGCAGTGAGAGAATGTGCTGACACAAACTACTGATGGCGGCAGTGAGAGAATGTGCTGACACAAACTACTGATGGCGGCAGTGAGAGAATGTGCTGACACAAACTACTGATGGCGGCAGTGCCGTGAGAGAATGTGCTGACACAAACTACTGATGGCGGCAGTGAGAGAATGTGCTGACACAAACTACTGATGGCGGCAGTGCCGTGAGAGAATGTGCTGACACAAACTACTGATGGCGGCAGTGCCGTGAGAGAATGTGCTGACACAAACTACTGATGGCGGCAGTGAGAGAATGTGCTGACACAAACTACTGATGGCGGCAGTACCGTGAGAGAATGTGCTGACACAAACTACTGATGGCGGCAGTGAGAGAATGTGCTGACACAAACTACTGATGGCGGCAGTACCGTGAGAGAATGTGCTGACACAAACTACTGATGGCGGCAGTGCCGTGAGAGAATGTGCTGACACAAACTACTGATGGCGGCAGTGCCGTGAGAGAATGTGCTGACACAAACTACTGATGGCGGCAGTGAGAGAATGTGCTGACACAAACTACTGATGGCGGCAGTACCGAGAGAGAATGTGCTGACACAAACTACTGATGGCGGCAGTGAGAGAATGTGCTGACACAAACTACTGATGGCGGCAGTGAGAGAATGTGCTGACACAAACTACTGATGGCGGCAGTGAGAGAATGTGCTGACACAAACTACTGATGGCGGCAGTACCGTGAGAGAATGTGCTGACACAAACTACTGATGGCGGCAGTGCCGTGAGAGAATGTGCTGACACAAACTACTGATGGCGGCAGTGCCGTGAGAGAATGTGCTGACACAAACTACTGATGGCGGCAGTGCCGTGAGAGAATGTGCTGACACAAACTACTGATGGCGGCAGTGAGAGAATGTGCTGACACAAACTACTGATGGCGGCAGTACCGAGAGAGAATGTGCTGACACAAACTACTGATGGCGGCAGTGAGAGAATGTGCTGACACAAACTACTGATGGCGGCAGTGAGAGAATGTGCTGACACAAACTACTGATGGCGGCAGTGAGAGAATGTGCTGACACAAACTACTGATGGCGGCAGTACCGTGAGAGAATGTGCTGACACAAACTACTGATGGCGGCAGTGCCGTGAGAGAATGTGCTGACACAAACTACTGATGGCGGCAGTGCCGTGAGAGAATGTGCTGACACAAACTACTGATGGCGGCAGTACCGTGAGAGAATGTGCTGACACAAACTACTGATGGCGGCCGTGAGAGAATGTGCTGACACAAACTACTGATGGCGGCAGTGCCGTGAGAGAATGTGCTGACACAAACTACTGATGGCGGCAGTGTCGTGAGAGAATGTGCTGACACAAACTACTGATGGCGGCAGTGAGAGAATGTGCTGACACAAACTACTGATGGCGGCAGTGAGAGAATGTGCTGACACAAACTACTGATGGCGGCAGTACCGTGAGAGAATGTGCTGACACAAACTACTGATGGCGGCAGTGCCGTGAGAGAATGTGCTGACACAAACTACTGATGGCGGCAGTGCCGTGAGAGAATGTGCTGACACAAACTACTGATGGCGGCAGTGCCGTGAGAGAATGTGCTGACACAAACTACTGATGGCGGCAGTGAGAGAATGTGCTGACACAAACTACTGATGGCGGCAGTACCGTGAGAGAATGTGCTGACACAAACTACTGATGGCGGCAGTGAGAGAATGTGCTGACACAAACTACTGATGGCGGCAGTGAGAGAATGTGCTGACACAAACTACTGATGGCGGCAGTGCCGTGAGAGAATGTGCTGACACAAACTACTGATGGCGGCAGTGCCGTGAGAGAATGTGCTGACACAAACTACTGATGGCGGCAGTGAGAGAATGTGCTGACACAAACTACTGATGGCGGCAGCACCGTGAGAGAATGTGCTGACACAAACTACTGATGGCGGCAGTGCCGTGAGAGAATGTGCTGACACAAACTACTGATGGCGGCAGTGCCGTGAGAGAATGTGCTGACACAAACTACTGATGGCGGCAGTGAGAGAATGTGCTGACACAAACTACTGATGGCGGCAGTGCCGGTAGAGAATGTGCTGACACAAACTACTGATGGCGGCAGTGCCGTGAGAGAATGTGCTGACACAAACTACTGATGGCGGCAGTGAGAGAATGTGCTGACACAAACTACTGATGGCGGCAGTGCCGTGAGAGAATGTGCTGACACAAACTACTGATGGCGGCAGTGCCGTGAGAGAATGTGCTGACACAAACTACTGATGGCGGCAGTGAGAGAATGTGCTGACACAAACTACTGATGGCGGCAGTACCGTGAGAGAATGTGCTGACACAAACTACTGATGGCGGCAGTGAGAGAATGTGCTGACACAAACTACTGATGGCGGCAGTGCCGTGAGAGAATGTGCTGACACAAACTACTGATGGCGGCAGTACCGAGAGAGAATGTGCTGACACAAACTACTGATGGCGGCAGTGCCGTGAGAGAATGTGCTGACACAAACTACTGATGGCGGCAGTGAGAGAATGTGCTGACACAAACTACTGATGGCGGCAGTGCCGTGAGAGAATGTGCTGACACAAACTACTGATGGCGGCAGTGCCGTGAGAGAATGTGCTCAGACAAACTACTGATGGCGGCAGTACCGTGAGAGAATGTGCTGACACAAACTACTGATGGCGGCAGTGAGAGAATGTGCTGACACAAACTACTGATGGCGGCAGTACCGTGAGAGAATGTGCTGACACAAACTACTGATGGCGGCAGTGAGAGAATGTGCTGACACAAACTACTGATGGCGGCAGTGCCGTGAGAGAATGTGCTGACACAAACTACTGATGGCGGCAGTGAGAGAATGTGCTGACACAAACTACTGATGGCGGCAGTGCCGTGAGAGAATGTGCTGACACAAACTACTGATGGCGGCAGTACCGAGAGAGAATGTGCTGACACAAACTACTGATGGCGGCAGTGCCGTGAGAGAATGTGCTGACACAAACTACTGATGGCGGCAGTGAGAGAATGTGCTGACACAAACTACTGATGGCGGCAGTACCGTGAGAGAATGTGCTGACACAAACTACTGATGGCGGCAGTGCCGTGAGAGAATGTGCTCAGACAAACTACTGATGGCGGCAGTACCGTGAGAGAATGTGCTGACACAAACTACTGATGGCGGCAGTGAGAGAATGTGCTGACACAAACTACTGATGGCGGCAGTGAGAGAATGTGCTGACACAAACTACTGATGGCGGCAGTGCCGTGAGAGAATGTGCTGACACAAACTACTGATGGCGGCAGTGAGAGAATGTGCTGACACAAACTACTGATGGCGGCAGTGCCGTGAGAGAATGTGCTGACACAAACTACTGATGGCGGCAGTGCCGTGAGAGAATGTGCTGACACAAACTACTGATGGCGGCAGTGCCGTGAGAGAATGTGCTGACACAAACTACTGATGGCGGCAGTGCCGTGAGAGAATGTGCTGACACAAACTACTGATGGCGGCAGTGAGAGAATGTGCTGACACAAACTACTGATGGCGGCAGTGAGAGAATGTGCTGACACAAACTACTGATGGCGGCAGTGAGAGAATGTGCTGACACAAACTACTGATGGCGGCAGTGCCGTGAGAGAATGTGCTGACACAAACTACTGATGGCGGCAGTGCCGTGAGAGAATGTGCTGACACAAACTACTGATGGCGGCAGTGAGAGAATGTGCTGACACAAACTACTGATGGCGGCAGTGAGAGAATGTGCTGACACAAACTACTGATGGCGGCAGTGAGAGAATGTGCTGACACAAACTACTGATGGCGGCAGTGAGAGAATGTGCTGACACAAACTACTGATGGCGGCAGTACCGTGAGAGAATGTGCTGACACAAACTACTGATGGCGGCAGTGAGAGAATGTGCTGACACAAACTACTGATGGCGGCAGTGCCGTGAGAGAATGTGCTGACACAAACTACTGATGGCGGCAGTGCCGTGAGAGAATGTGCTCAGACAAACTACTGATGGCGGCAGTACCGTGAGAGAATGTGCTGACACAA